CTCTTCTACAAATGTTGACTTGGACCTGAAATAAACAATTGTGCAGCCAATAACTCAGATAGTACGGCTAAAGCTTTCGCAAGTGGAGCACTCATTTGCAGGAATTGTGAAACGACCAACGACTAAAACGGTGGCAAAAATTATATGATCGACTGTGTACTAAACGTTGACCAAATCGAACGTTGGAAATTACCGGGAATATACCCAATAACACTTGATTCTCATCAAACTACCAAGGTACTAAAACAAAACAAACGCTACAAATAGTCGTTTAGAATATGTCACACTTACATCAACCACAAAATTGCTTTAATTATAGATGGCTAACTAGTTGCACACATAGGTACGATAGCTTTCTTAGTCTGGCTCCCAAGATAACCACTATGCCTATATCATATATTAAAGTCGAAATCGATCAGCAGACGCTTGGAGTTTGGTGGGAATACAACCGTTCACTGAATATTTATGAGTAGTATTTGAGAACACGCAAAAACTGGTTGATGAAGATAAAATAAGGACAGAAAACGCATACGATACTTAACTCTAAAATATTTTAAAAGTCGTCTTCCAGCAAGCGCTCTTCTAGAGTGTTACTTTAACTCGGTTGTTGGAAAGATGATCCTCTTTTCGGCCCGGCTTTATCCTTCTAGCGCGATTAGGAAGAAAGAGAAATCCAAAATAAATAAGGATTTTCTGATACAACCATCAAAGAAACCGTATATTGAAGGGGTGGGATACAACGATGGAGACTACATATGACAGTATAATAGGCTCATATGATATGAAAGTTTTAAATAGCTCGACGAAGGTATGAATGAAAGGGTAAAATACTCTAATAACAATTTAATAATAATATATTTCTTCATGAGCAGGTACATGCCATTTTTACAGGCATGATCTACAAATTACATTTGTTGGCTCAGAGCATGCTTCCCAACTTAGTAAATTTATAGTTGTTATAAAGTAGGGATCATACTTACGTGTCAAAAATAAAAATAAGTGTGAAAAGTAGATTTGCTTGAGTAAGTGGAATATAAGTTGTTAGGTTTATCTGGTTTGTTAACCTAGTAGCAGAGAGAAGCTTATAAACGCCAACCTATGTTTAAAGATGTAACGTGACGAACAAAAAACAGACAATGCAAGTACAGTCAATGAAATTACGCCTGAGATTTGATCAGAAAGATATATGAGGGTGTCAACCACAGACTAGAGTCACTTAGCTTGATAAACCAATTTCTACATCCACTAGAAGCAGAGAGATGTTTGATCATAGGTAAGAGGATAAGATGAGGGAAAGATGGAAAGCCATCAGGACTGCATTCTCAGGCTGGTAATGATCAACTGCTAGCCATCCGGGTGCCCGAACCTGCTTCGATTTGGGCACCAGGGCAGAATCACAGCCCTCATATATATCAAATGAGATCTGTGTGGCGCATATGTATTTGGTGTCTCCTTGTACCAATATCCATGTGTTAAAATAGATAAATAAATAATAAATACGTTCAAATATCTTCTGGTATTGGTTTTCACGCTGTCATATATGGTGTGGCCACTAGTGAAACCACCGCATGAATTTGCTATAGCTTGGTAAACTACATGACCATCAGAGAATAACATCCATACTCTCTGTAGCAACTAAAGCGATGAAATGCATTAGCATATTATCAGTGAGGAACTGTGAATGGAATTATAAGTGGAACTACTTCGAAATATGTTAGTTTACCGATGAAACGACCAGGAAAGAGAACATTATATTTGAAGTGAAGAACTAACAGTCTTCAGGTAACGCCCAGATTTCTACTGTGTGTACTTTCAGGACCTTTCTTTCTCACTACTTGAAGTGATTTCTTGGAAAACAATTGTAAAAGCTACCCTGGTTCACGCTGATGATACCCATTATGCCTTCGGACTAGAAAACTTTATATTACTATGCTTGATTAGATGATACAAATGACTTAGTCGTAACAACATGAAATTAAGAGCAACATGCGAACTAGAAGATGAGTTTATGCAAAATGCAGAATGGTGAGCACGTAGTGTCAAGGTCGCGGAAATATAGAAAATTAAGTGGGATATACTCCACATTATGGGATCACTCCATACATGATTGTACATAACAAATTTTAAAATGTTAGCACACCATCTACCCTAAAAATTCTGATATTGTTGGAGTCGAAAGAAATCCAAATATGTTACAACAACAAATTGTATAAAGCTTGAGAATTATTTACGCCTATTACCTTCACCATGTGGAGGAGCATAGGTCGCCCATAATTATTCTCCATCCAACTCTGTTTTGGGAAGTCTTTTTCAGTAACCATTCATCCTTTTGGTGTCTGCTCCCAATTCTCGACGCAATGTGTTTCTTGATCTTCCTCTTTTCTGTTTCCCTCCACGATTCCAAGTTAGCAATCGCTAAGTGACACAGTTTAATGACTTTCACAATGTGTGTCCTATCCACCTCCATCGTCTTTTCCTAATTTCCTCTTCAACTGGAAGCTGGTTTGTTCTCTGCCATAGTGGATTGTTGCTGGTGGTATTCGGTCAACGGACATTGAGTATCTTGTGTAGATAAATGTGTATGAATAGTTGTGCTTCTTGATGATGGTTGTAGTAGTTTTCAAAGTTTCAACTCCGTACAGTAGAACTCTCTCGACGTCCGTATTGGAAATTCTGAATTCGATATTGGCTTGTATTCAGTCGTTTTGCGTTCCATATGTTATTCAATCGTAGAAATGCTGTCCTTACTTTACCAATCCTTGCATTTACATTTGCATCTGATGATGTCCAGGTACGTGAAGATTTCAACACCTTCCAGATTTTCTGCATCAAGTGCGACTGCGTTGGTGTTCTCCTTGTTGTATTTGAGGATCTTTCTCTTCCCCTTGTGTATGTTGAGATTTACTGTTGTAGAGGTGGACACTACACTGTTTGTCTTCATCTGCATTTGTTGGCGTGTATGTGATAGAAGGGTCAGGTCATTTATGAAGTGTAAATTATCTAGTTACATGTGAGCCGTCAACTTTATTCCATGTTATCCCTGTTCCTCTATTGTTGAATCTCGGTGATTGGCTTGCTTTCATTGTCCCCGACTGATAGCCCTGCTTTACAATATTTCCATGTTAGTTTCTTCCTTGTCTCATATAGTTGCTTGATATTTATTTCACTTGCAGGTTTTCACGCTGTCATTGCTAGATGTTCTACATATTTCTGCTTGTTGACCGTAATGCCCCTCTTTACCCTCATGTTTATTTCTGTGTACTCGGTCTGTGGCATGGTTCCCTCTGCTCTTGTTCAACCGTTGTTAATTGCTTCTTACGGCTTATAATCTCCTAACACGTTGAAGTTAGTGCTTCTCTGATCCTCTCCCAGTTGTTCTCCATAGTAGTTCCCTCTTCTTTTAGTGGATCATGTAAGGCTTGAAACCCGTTTCTGAGAGCTATCTTGAATTCGTTGAGTTTGTCAGTACATGGAAAAAAGGCTATACAGAATTTGTTTAATGCTGAGTCTCCAGTTTTCCAGTGTTTCTTTAGCTTCAGTTCCTAATTGGTCACAACCAGTTGGTGGTGATTTGAAGGTGTAAGCTTTTTTTCCTGGTTCTTCCATTTATCTTCTGGATGTTTTAGTGATGCAAATATGATCGATCTGATTCTCTGTAGTGTGATTTAGTGAGACCCATGTAACTTTGTGTATGAATCTGTGTGGGAATACTGTGCCACCTTCAACCGTTCTGTTGAAGACACATAGATTTGCAAATCTTTCTTCATTCTCATTCCTTTCTCTCAATCAGTTTATGTTGTCTCATGATATTTTCCTACTTAGTATTATCCATTTGGACCTCGGCGTTAAGGTCTCCCATCAGGATGGTCAAGTCGTTACCTGGACAATTCTCTACGATCGATTGCAGCCTTTATTAAAAATCGCCGTAATAGTCTTTATTGCTATGATTGGTGGTTGAATAACACTGAATAACATTCATTGTGATCCCTTCTCTGTTTCAAAGAAGGTTTGGTTATTTATTGCAACTCACTATGTATCTAAAATGACCGTTGCTGTTGTTTCTAGCAGAGGTCTCGAACTAGTTACTTCTAAAGGATATCAGTTTTCACCATGTGACGTCATAATTCTGAACGAAGGTTGTTCAACTCGGAGTGCAGGGTTTAAATTGTTTAATTCGTTTATTCTGCCTAACAATTTTTAGGAAGATCGGTTCTTATGGAACGGGGTTGCTTACCTCATTCCTAGCATTCCTTTTTTACCCGGGCTTGAGACTGGCGGTAGCTCTAGAAGAGCTACAGGCAGAGTACGAAATGGGTCAATTGTGCCAAGAAAATCCGCCTCATCATCTTAGACTCCTCTTTCTAGGCTTTGGGAGGATCAAAGATAACTTGATCGCAAAATGTGAAAATAGTTAATTTTAGACAGCAAAAATTCTTTTAAAGTATAGTACCTCAATCTTATATGTAATCCTCAAGAAATTTCAAACTTACGAGTGTATAACAAGGTGTGGTACCACTTTTTCTCAATGCAGGTCTTCCAACCGAAGTCATCACAGTCATCTCTGGAGATAACTTTAAGGAGAGGAGAAGCGGATATTCATGGATTATCTCACCTTTACTGAATAATCAAGTACAACAACGAATCAATCACTCCTAACGTTTACTATTTTCACCTTATCATGCGTTCATCAATATTGTCAATATTATTAATGCAATTGCATATTATTATCATTATTAATTTCACCAACCATACTTTATACCTTATCACCACGATTTGTTTTCTGCCTATATAAATTCAACCATTTTTATTTGCCTAATCGTTGTTCTGCCTGGAAAATTTCCCCTCATCACTCATTTTCATTATCTCCCTAAAATATATCATATGACAGCTAATTAACTGACTGCCTTGAGACGTGACAGCTTTTAGTTCCATCAGCCTCACTGCTTTGGGGCAAATACAACCAAACATGCAGTGAACGCTGTTGAGCACCTGTAACTTTGCCTGAACACTATGAATTGGGGGAAAATAAATCAGTTGACTTATATTATGATTTGTAGTATCTGCCGTATGAGTTAAAGTTTCTAGAAAAGTCGGCGAGTTTGCATAAGTACTTACTTCATGTTTTACAATGGTGGTTCGTTCCCCTTTCCTTTAAAATGTGTTTGTTTTTCAGTAGTAAATTTAAGGTTAAACTTGACTGCAGTTTGTTATCGTTACAGCGCAATATACAGAATGAGTAGATCAAACAAGTATGAAAACGTGCGACATGTGTACAGAATACTGAAAGAAAAAGGAGATATAGACAAGATAAAAGTAAATTATTTTTGATGGTTAGGACAAAAATATGAACAGTCTCAAATCAGGTCGAAGCTGATACTGGGGTTTGGATCTTTGGATAATTCAATAACAAAGTTTGACACTGAAACCACTGATCGAAATATAAGGATGGCAAATTGCTTAGTTGCAGATCATCTGAAGATTCACGGGTATGATTACTCTCTGAGCGTTTTTCTGCCTGAAATTGGGCTAACTAATTTCGAGGTATGTTTTAACAAAAAGCTAGATTTATAATCACTTTCAGTTAGAAGAGTTCATTAAAGATATTTCGCATCTCAGGCCTTATAGTTGTTTTGAAGGTCGTGAAAGACTGGTATTACGGTATATATTTCACCCAACTTGTTCTATTTTAGACGAGTTTTTACAAAGAGTCCTATTCATTATTAGTGTCGATTCTGAAAGCCTATGAAGATATCTCTAGCCTTTCAAAAGAACATAAAGCTATCCAGACAGTTGAAATAGATGGTTGTGACTTAGGTAACGTTATGAATGATGTTTAGTATTTACTGCCCCTCCAAAAATTGAACCCTATTGTTTTATTATTACCTGTGTGAGAATTGATATATCAAACGTCGTACTCAGAATAAAAGGGGTATTGCAGTTGTTAACCGTTAGTATTTTACAGGTGAACGGAAGTCCCGAAAACCCAGAATAGGTGCTCGATTAGGAATGTTAATTTAACATTAGGAAATAAATTTTCATACTCGGCATATGAGTAATTTTAGCTTACTTATTCCACTAAGCACACACATTTATGCGTAATTTTTGTGGAAAAGAAATTCTTATTCAGGCACAAAAGCATGGGTTTGGCGAATACATAAAAGAAGCAACTTAATTAGTGCAATATCATAGCTAACAAAGATATGGAAGTGCGAAAAAAAGTAGTGAGAGCTCCTCGGAAATATGGTAACCGATCTTTAATTTGCTTGAATGCGTTTCTTGAACCTTTGGCTCAGACTCAGTTCAAACTAAAAGTGTCAAACTAAAATAATGGGGAAGTAGATTGGGTTTAGTCTTCAGTAGTGAAGAAAGAAGGTCAGGTATTATATGTTATGGTGAAGAACTCTAGTAGTTCACCACTCGATAGGGAAAACAAAACTTTAGACGCAAACGCTTTGATTTTGGCTTTTAGAGTTTCACAATTCTCCTTATCTGAGACCTAGGTGGAAGACCTTGTCAAAGGCTTTGCTTAGATTTATGAAGAGCACAATGATCAGAATATTCCTGTATTTCGTTACAGTCCAATCTTCTATTGCTACAAGGAAACTGGCTAAACATGGAAGATATTACCTAAAACTGTTTTTCTCGTGCTAAAAGAATACCCCTTTCCATGTGGCGTGGAATAGTAGCCAAAACAATTATTTTTAATAGTTTAACATTTGTACTAGTTATGCTGACTAATTGGGTGAGTTATTGACTGCATATTTACAATCTGTTTTGAAGACCAGGCTAATTATTGCATCGTTGTAGCCTGTTGGTGTTTTCGATAGATTCAGAGGTATAGTAATCAGAATTACTAGTGGTTCTGCAGGCACAGCAATCAGAACTCTCCCGTTTTGAGGATGCATACCAACAGAGTTACTCGACTTATACGATTTTAGATGTTGGAGTAGTCACAAAACAACTTTCTTCTCTATAAATACCGAACCAATCAACAATGCGCGATTTTAAGAACTAATGGCTGTTTTTTTACTGTTAGTGGAAAATAATATCGCAATATTTTGACAAGGTTTCAACTTTATTGATTTTTTCATGTCCCGATGAAAAAAGATATTTCTGGGTCTGGAATGCCAGAAATTATTAGTATTATTGTTCTGAAGATTCAGGACTAGTCGTTTCTCACGGAATAATTTAGTTTTATTTGCAAACACTTCACATGGATTTTCAGCGTTAAAGTAATTAGAGCTGAAATGTCCAAAGCCTGTAGAAGTGAACATATTTAGTATTCTCCTGCGTTTAAGGAGTTTTTTTATCTCTTTTGTTGTACACAGTACAGATTTATTGGGCCTACTTTGTTATGAGCGTGATATAAAAGCAGATGTAACTAGGGTAACTGAACCTTTACGTATGGACCATGCCTCCTTAATTGATAATCTAGTATTAACCGACCAGTCTGTAGCTGCAGTAAACTCGTTGGTGGCTGAAATGTTTGTCTGCCACACACTTGGACAAGATAGAGCCTGACCATAGATTATTCCACAATCTCCAAACTTGAACGATAAAACTACATCATTACCATTTTGTAAGGGTGGAAGAGTGTTTAGACAGGTAATATCTTCAGCTTCATCGGTGATTACTGAATCCAACAAGGAAGATCCTTGGTTTGAACTAAAACATATGGGTTAGGATATACGCTGTACTTTACAATATATATCAGGTACATCGGAGTCTAGGACCATTAACCTTTTAGCTTCACTCAAGAGCTTAATGTGTTCTCAAATGAAATCATCAACTTGGAAGATTAGAATCCGAAAAGTTATACCTAGCTAAAATGTAAAGTGTTCAAAAGTAAGTTCACAGCTAGCAAATTTATAAGTCCTATTTTCAGAAGACTCGCACAGAAAGGAATGTATGTGAATATTTGCAATGCATACGAGGACCCTCACTCCCTTATGACATATTCCTATCACTTTTTAGGTATATGTATCTCAATCGTTTGACAAAATCATTGTTAGTGATTTTGTGATTGCCATCATGAAAGTTTAGCACTACTCCAAATAATACGAGAAAAATATCTTTCTTTTTTGGGTGCATGTTACTTCATTGAATAAACAAATTACAGGCCATTTAAACGGATAGTCACCATGATGTAAAGAGCGCATGTCAAATATACAGTTAGGTTTGTGAATATCAAACAAAGATAGTTCTATTCTATGTAACAGGAAAGATGAAAATTCTCAAGTGACATACTGATATTAGGAGGTATATAGAATTATATGTAAAAAGTTACTAATTTGATATATGGTAGAATTTTATGATTTGTTATAAAGAAGCACCTGTAATTTGTCAGAATGATCAGTACTATGGTTATAAATCGTATTATCGAGTCATGCAATATAATTAAATAATGAATAATCAAGAGATCAAACTATTGACGTAAGCTGAAATGAATAGATATCAGAAGAAAAGACAGATACCCGGCAAAAGACTGTTTTTTTCTTACGAAATAACATTTGTTAAAAAAATTATAAACACAATTAGAAACGACTGTTAGTCATTCAGTAAATACTGACTGTAAATCATTTACTCTGGTATGGAACTAGTGCTTAATTATCAGGTTTAATTCTTGCTTAGTCATAACGTAACTATAGTTTTATAATAATTATTGGGCAAGTACACACAAACTAAAGATATGCTTTGTTTTCATTTTGTTCACAAAGATCACAGGTTAAACAATATTAATAAAGAATATGAAGCAATGAAGTCATTAGAGATTTTGCATGCAAAACAGTCATTTGATGATCGTTTGGAACAATATAAGAGTGAAATAAATGAGCGAAGTCAAATAGAAATAGAGAAACAGGCAAGATTAATTTCTATCATTTGCTCGAGTAAATCATCGGCTTTTTCACAATCTTGTTGTATTTTTGTTAGTTTTTTTAGAGAATGTATTTGTAATATACTACGGTTACTAAGAGCTTTGTTGAAAACCAGGCCATACTCTCTGAGGTTTTCGAACAGTTCATAGCTATCAGTGCTCATTCACAACTCGTTGCAAGGCTGAATTCGGGACTGTTGACTCACATTTTTGAGGTCAGATAGTTTGTAATTTGACATAGGATGACATTATTACTTTACTAAGTAGACTGATAATTGAACTCTCTGTATACCGAGTATGTTAATCTTAACAGCGGTCACCCTTTATCAAAAAGCTTCAAGAAAATAGGAATTCGTTTTAGTACGTATTCGAGTTTTCTTTGCGATCATCTGTCGTGAAAATAATTATGTTGATCTGAGATAAAGGTGAATCCAGCTGACGAATTCCAAGTGGACGGAACATGCGTCGTAGATTCTACTACTAGCAACCATCCATCTTTGATTTTAATCATATTGATACTCCTTATATAGTTAGTCTTACTTATATATTTCAACAATCAATACAGAAATATTCTGGTTTACAGTTTGTGGATTACGATAGCTTCGGTAGTGTGTAAAAGACGAATTGATAAACCATGTAGTAGATTTGATAGTATGCAGTGAAATACATAATTATACGCTGTTTACTTTTCACCTTACAATTCACATGTAATACGTGTTAAATCAAATTAAACGATAACAGACTAGTCGGTAAAGTAATAAAAAGACTACTATAAATTATTTCACGAGCAATTGCCAAATGTTGTCAACTATTCCTTAGTGTATCTGTCTTTCTAATTTATTAATTTAGTTATTTATGTTAAACAGGGATTATAGTTAAACTAGAATTCATGGAAGTACGATTTTATATATTTTTGAGTTGTACAATTTTATTATCGAGTACTGATTATTGTCCGCAACGAAACCCTTAACGCGAACTTTAGACAAAGAATGGAACCTGAATTATTCTTTTACTTGGAAACTAGCCAGTCAGATGTTATAGCTGTTTCAAGCGAAGTAAATTAACATGATGAAGTATAAATTTTTCACAGTGTATAGTCTAGTTAGTTAAATGTTTCTTACGCATCAAGTTTTTTAGTTGCAAGGAACCTTTGAAATTTCATGCTAATAGTATACGGCAACAAAGCTTTTTTAGATTTCAACCTATGTGATTCGCCCTAATACGATGAATTGCCAAAAATGTTTACTGATTTAGATATCAGAGTTTCGTCAAAATGAATTGAACTCGTTAAAATCGGAATTGGAAGAAGAATTTCAAAAACGTCTACTTCAAAATACACAGCGAGTAAGATACCTTATTACTGTGGTAAAAATGAATATCTATTTATATGATAAAAGGAACATTCGTTATGACCACTTTATTAGGGAATAAATTGACTAAGGTATTCAAATTAGGTGTATTATTAGCTTGGATATAAGATGTTACATAGCTTGACGAGTTTTTTGAGTGAGAAGAAGAATAAAAATGTTTAATTACAAATAAAAGTGTAATAATGTGATGCGTTGTACCTAAATATGTTCTCATATTTTTGTGGTTAAAGCATAATGGTGCCAATTATTTGGCTGAATAGTATAAAATCCCCTAAAATTTTTATTTTTCAAACATAACTACTGTCGAGAAGTAAGTTGGTTAGAAACACCACCTATTCCTGTAGAGATCCAGGGCAACCACAAAAAACTGTTTGAATCATATAAGTTCGTTGCATTTTTTAAAAACTATGATTGGGTCATCATTTAGCTGAGATCCAGTGATATGATAGTCATTCTAGATTTGTGACAGATTAATTTAAATGAATGATGAAATACTGTGGGATTCTAAAACACATTGTTAAGTTTGGCACTGGATAATTTATACTAGATAGACCGGTCGTAGCGTATATGGTTGTGGTGTTGAGTAACCTAAACTGGGATTTACGAAGATTTATTAACTTTCTAAAGGGTACAAAGGTTCCTTGCTGATAAATTGTTAAAAATAACAGGACAAGGATTACCTTTCGAGTGTCATTAAATATACAATATTCAATAAGGAGCACTGCAACTATTGACTGACCGAGTTTTGTCAAATACGATCAACAGATAACATAATATCAGTTACATATCAGCTAAAATATCCTGACGTTTAGAGACATATCTAGAAATTGTAAACTGCTATCTGAATGTTCAGCTAACATATATGGTCACTCTTCTGCAATCTACTTGACTTTAGTCTAGTAAAAATTCGAAAATATTTTAAACCACAGTTTACCTACTCGTGAGTAGTAAACCATAAAATAGATAGAAATATGAACAAACTTTGTAAAAGCAATTGGTTTTTTTTATTTCAGTTGCAAGAAGAATTTGAACTTCGCTGTCAGTCCCTCAATGAACAAGAGGTGCTGCTTAGAGAGAAGTACAGTCTATTTCAACAAAAAGAGGAGCGTGAAGCATTTGTTAGACGTCAAGCCTTGCAAGCTGAATTAGACGCTATCCAGTTGGTGAAGACACAATTAGATCAAGAAAAAATCCAAATAGATAAGTTAGTTAATTAAAAAAAACAATTTACATGGCAACGGTAACTTTGTAAATGAATTTTTTTCAGCTGTAATTATTGACTATAATCAATAGTCCTTCTATATTGTTAGGTATTTTTTAGAAAATTTACAATGATTGAAGTTATTTAAAAAGAAACTCAAAAAGAGAAAGAAGTATAGTCATTTTGTATAAAGTAAAAGAATTCAAAAATGTGTACTAATAAATCTTTTTGAGTAACGACAAGACAGAAGATATTGATGTATTCCATGAACTCTTGTTTAGCATTTATCTGTAGGATTAGTAACTGGTAAACACCAAACCTCATAACTAATGTCCAGCTATGTGACTAAATTTTTTCTAAAAAAAATAGAAAATCATAAGTAGAGCTGTATTTCTAAATTCTCTAAAGATATCGTGATTTAAGAAAGCTGCTTTTCAATAAACATATCAAAGTATTTTCTTGGGACTCACAATTTTATGATGTTTAGTGGCAATGTAAACGAGTTAGACAAATGAAATGATTGCTTCTCTATCTTGGTTAATGTTACTAGACATTAAATAATACATAAATTCACGATTACTATAAATTAAGTTTTTGCAACATATTCCTATCAGTTTGACATAATTTATTTACAGTATACCAAACATTTTATTTCTGATTACACAACGAAGTTTTGATACGATTTGACGATTATTGGATATTCAGGGAGTTTGTAACCATACTGCATATTACACTGAATAATTTTCTTTGAGAGTTCGAACTGAAATTAAATTAATTAACGTTTTGCTCCTTCATATTTTTCAAGAATTGAAAAGAAAAGTGACATGCTCCTATTTCTGAAATCCAAATATTGAAATATGCATGATTAGATTTTTAAGTCACTAAAAACTTGCACAATATACTTTTGATTACACATCGTTATGTTGACTAATAACATATGTCCTTCACTTTCAGAAAGCGTTTGTTATCCTGGAATAAAATACTTCTCTTAGCATATACATAAGTTGTCATTCGTTTTCTTTGTTCTGTAATTAGTAAGTCGTAAATTTGAATCTTGGTATTAGTTGTATTTGACCACTGAGAAATACATTCTATTCATAAATTCAATAAAACAAAATAATAATTGTACATTAATTTGATAATTGAATTTTATTTATTTATTTCTAATTATTAGTGATAAATTACAGTTACATAAAGATTATGAGAAAAATGAATTAGAATTTAAAAAGCGTGAAAATCTTTTAGAAATAAGAGAAAAAACATTAGAAAGTGAAATTCATGAACATGTAAACCAGTAAGTTGAATTGTACATTCCAATGAACGGTTGTGAATAAAAAAACTTTTTTGATTGGACCAACTAAAATGATTAGGTTAATAACGCTAAACGACACGATACATCACTCATTTATTATTATTTTTTTCTGTTAGTTTCTTTTAAGTGAGCTTGAAAATTTCTTGGAAAACGTTTTGTGAACTAGGAGAAAGCTGGAAAAATTTCGTCTAATCAACGTTTGGTAGAAGCTTTTAAGAGAGTTCTAGAAAAAAAAAGATGGATTATTTATTATGCCCAAATTGGATAACCAAAGATTTTGTCATTGAATCTTCTGGAATATCAAGGTCTCACATAAACATATTAATACCTTTGTTTGCGATACTGAGGCTGATCTTGGAAGAAAAGCTACTTTTTATACTTTATGTCTTTTATTTTCAATATGAGTCTCAAGTATAAAAGATTTGTAATGTATTGGAAAGTTGTGAAAAATTAAACAATCATAACTTTATGTACTAGGGATATCAGTTTCATGAGGATTCTGTGTAATAGATATTAATTCTAAGCAATATTACTACTGATTTACCAGCCGCTTAAAATTTACTTGGTATTTAAGAAACATTCCTCGTTGATTGACTGTTCAGTACTGTGAATATTATTTACAAGAAGTAATTACCACCTGTAGGAAATTTAGAACTAGACGCGACAATCTTTTACTCCATGTCGTTAGCTTCCCATAATATAGGTGTTTGATGATAAATTGATCTGAGATCAAATAATGACATACTGTCATAGTTAATTTAGTTTCTCATTCATTCTATAGGAAACTACAATATTTTATTAAACTTTGATGATTTCATAGAATTAAACAATCAACTTTAAAATAGTTTCTTTTTGAGGAAAACACATCCTTATTATGAATTTGCCATAATTATTACAATTTCGAATTAGTTCTCTGTAAAAATAACTTAGTATGAAGTGGACATGTTCCTAGTAGCATTTACTTTGAATTTAATGAAATAAACAGAAACTATTCGAAGGTTTGGTTTCAAGTAAATTTTGAAAAAAAATTTATGGTTTTTTAAAACATGCTTAAAATGGTTACCTGTTTTCACGTCGTTATTAAATGTAAATTGAGTTAAAGCTTAGACTATATACCATAAATATTGGAAATTTATAAGCCATATCATTAATGATAACTTGCAAGCATTACGTCTGAGAGTTACAAAGATTGATTTTAATGTCTGAAACTTTTGAAATTAGCCAGTTAGTCTTACTGATAATGACCACTATTCATAAAACCTATGTTTAAAGTTTTGTCTCATACAAAATATTCATGTCTTAATCTTAATTATATCTATTCATGAATAAACTTATTTCATTCTTTTAGACTTTCAATTTTACGTTTTTCATAAACTATTCTTGGTCTCAATGATGTTTTACTCCTGCCTTTTCTAACATGTCTCATTTATTTGAATGACCTCGAATCTCTCAGTTTGACCTATTCACCTTATCTTATTTCTGACTATGAATAAGGCATTAAACAAATGTATTTTTACTTCTGGAAAACGTTGTCCTTTGTCCTCTCGTCAACTAAATCCTACTCATATTTTTCCTCATGCGAATTGTTATCAAAATTCTCGTTTTCCCATTTGTGAAAAAAATGATATTTCAATTTGCAGGTATAATTGATCAATCTTAATACGGTAAAACTATGATGGTGACCTTAAGACGTTTTAAAAGTGACCGAGAGATTAGGTGGTCATAAGTTAACAAATAAGAACGCAGTTTTTGTGGAGGAGTACGGTATTACAAAAAATGGTCTGGAGTGGATCTAGAATTTCGACACCATTAATAAACTTATTAGGGCTAAATGTAGGTCATTAAAGGTGAAAATTATGGTACATTAACACTCCCAAACCTTAACTCCCAACTCTAACGTTCCTGTAACCTAACTCCCAACGCAAATATTTCATTTCACAAGAAAATGATCGCCCGATCCATTCAAAATACGAAATCTAGTCAAAATCACGATTTCCAACTAAAAGCTATCCTCGATGGCGTTTTAGGCTTGCGTAGGTTAATATTTCATTGCTGACCTGATTGACTCTATGGTTATTGACCTTTGGTTAGACATTATTAAAAAGTTCGAAACTAAGATAATATAGCTGAGTCCTGATCTCTAATTTAAAATGACTTAGAACCTGTTGTTAGTTTATGCTGACAATCATCTCTTAATAGTAATCTCAACATTTGAATGATCTTCACAATAAACTCATTTAATAATTACATATTTTATAACGGCAAAAGTCCCTTTATATACATTTGTAACCGGCATTAAAATATACTGGGAAAGAATTTGAGCTATTTATTCTGATATTTTCAGAATAAAATATGCAATAAGATTGTCTATTGGTCATGTAATAATCAATGTGAATCAAATTTCGTAGTAGTTAAATTAATGGCCTTAAATGATAATATTTATTTTGTTCACTTCTTATAGATATGTAATTATATCGAGGTAGTTTCATAAATCAGAAATCTGACTATCCAATTTCAATATTTCTCACTTTTTCAGAACATATACGTGTGTTTAATTGTAGATAATCTGAAGTTAATATATTAAGCATGTATAACAACAGATAATTTCATAATCGGTTTCAAGGTCAAACTTGTTTTTATTAACATAACCAATGAATTTTGAACCATATTTTTTTGACAGAATTCGTATGGAAGATGAAATTAAACTAATGAAACAACGTAAAGAATTAGAATTACAGTCTATTCAACTCTCAGGTAAATAAAAATAATAAACAAGAAAAAAATTATTTTATTCAAACTTTTTTGTTAATAGAAAATCAGAAAATGCTTGAAGATAAATTGAAAACAATTGAACAACTTAAACAGGAATTGTTAAAACAACAAAACAAATTCACAGAAATGGAGGTAAGCATTGCCCCTTCACTCTCTCTCTCTCCTAATTAATTGATATTTACCTTGAAGTTGGTAAGAAATAGATATCAGTCACTGATATAATAATTTGTCAGTTGAATTAAAACTGAAAAATAGCGAGCAACTTAATTTAATGGACCAATTTAGTCCTGTAATTCAAAAGATACATCATGTGTAATTGAATTTCATAAGTTTTATGTTAGTTTCAATTTGTAAATCTCCTAGATGTATGAGAACACATAGTAAAGAGTGATTAGAACTTGTTACCCATCGTAGTTTTCAAAAAAGGTCACATTAACATCGGATCAGTCTGTCAACTAATCTTGAGACAAATGAAATTATAATTGTACATAATTCTATATGAATATGAAATTCGGTTATTGTATGGCTGACTGAAAAAATCAAGTATCTTTAAAACTGTTAAAACTTGATTGTATGACGTCGATTAATTTCTGAAGGTTTTCAGTTAAAGACATTGTTATGACACTCTCCCATCAGTAAATTTTTTTATCAGAAATGACAGTGATGACACTACTGTACTTTATTAATTCTGTACTTCCAGTTAACATGCACAGCTTGGATTACGTAACTGTAGTATTAAAAGTGTTTGATGTCTAACAATAAATCTCAAATCTGTTACTCTTACTTTTTTTTCCATCTTTTGGAACGTTTCAATTTTATTACGTATAAAACTTATTAAATTTCATGATAGAATCAAAAATATTATCACTATTATTTCTGAAATGTTCTATTTTAGATTGTAGGTTATGATACTATTAAAACACAGAATGAAGTGTTCAAAGCTGAAATCTCGAATTTACAAAAGTAATTTATAACGATGTTTTATGTAATATTCTATGCTTATAAAACTGTATTTTATATCGGAAGATAATACTGAATTGTTTGAATGAATAGAGAAAGAAAAGCAATATTCTAAAATCAATCTATTTTTATGATACTATCATGTTGATTTAAAAATTAATCCATCTGTTGTTGCTCCCTCGAATTTGGATGGTTTCACTTTTATTTAGATCATATTGAAATTGTATACATAATATAGTAGTTAACTAAATATTACTGCTGTACGACCGCTTATACCATTCAATACCCAATTATCTGCCTTATTTCAGCACTTTCTTGTTAATCATTTACTAACACATATAACTCCTTGCCCCAGCTACTAAAAAGTAAGTACAAACCATGAAAGAAATAACACTGAATAATACATTTAGCCACTCAACTCGAGACTATTTGAATATTAAAATGAATATGTGTTTTACGGAGTCATTTAGTGTGAACTTGTGCTTGACTTAGTTGGTAAGCATATGAAATTCATGGAGAAAAATCTAAATTTCCATGAAAAGCTTTGAAATTTTAAAGTATCAGGTTAAAATGACCTGTATTTCAAGAATGTATTGCGCAAATATATCACATAATTTCGATAACCTTTGTCTTCTCATTGCATTATTGAAATTTATCTTAAAGACTAACTGTTTTATATTTTGACTTGAACTAAAATTGTGACACGTAGAATGAACAAAAGTAGAAAAATTCCACCGGAATTACTAAACTTTCATCCCAAACTCGGTACTGATTATGAGGACATTATAAGTAAGCAAACATACCTTAACTAACTTTATAGATTTTATCTTCATTACAATTGAATTAGTAGTTTATTGCTTCGATGGTAAGCTAACAGCCAGTTAGCTTTATTCACTTATGCTTTTGCTATAAGTCCTGTGCCATATGTACACTTGCCTATCAAAGATTATGTATTCTACTCTACAATAATATATTATATTCAATCATATACTTTGGGAAATAACTGTTGAATGTGAATAGTATTAGTTAATTTGGCATTTTTCAAAATAAATCTCAGATATAGCGAAGCAATCCAATTATCTAAACAACATTTCCTAGAATTGAACAATTAACGTGTATGGATTATATGTTTGTTTTTTCGGTTACACTGGCAAAAAATGAAGTTAATTTTTTTTATTAAATTATCATATTTCATCCCCACCTATTGTATTACACTATATGTTATGCTGCAGACTATTCACAAAATACTCGTTACTTTAAGGCGTCTGATGGGCACATAATCAATATGAATAAAATAGAAAACCCTTTGACTCATTTTATTTTATTGTTTTAGACAATTGAAAAACTCTTTAACTGAACTAGAAGAACAAAAACAAAGTAGGTCAAAAATCCTTATAATATGATTACTTTTTCATAATGTCTATTGATTGAAATTGTGCTTGTACTTAGTGATGTGCGAATTGTGAAAGTTAAAAGTATGTTTTTTTCACCTGTTGTAAAGAGTATCTATGTACAAAATATTTGAGGGCAATTATCAATAATTTATATGGAGAGATTTTTCTTTACAAGCAAGGGATATTACGGAGATTGCAATATTTTCAATATTTGAATTCACAAGTCGGTCGAAGTTGGACATTAACACCGTTAGATGTTGGCTCGGTGGTGTAAAAGTTAATCGTTTGCGATCGATGTCGAAGATCCTGTATTGGGGTCCTTCGTGTGGGATCGTGAACGCGCACAGCTGAGGACGGAACTGCCCTCCAGTGCTTTCAGGTTTTCAATGGTGGTCTGGCTTAGATTTTTCTTTGTTAATACTGATCAACAAAGTTTCTCTACAATATGGAGAAAATCATGTTTCTTTTAAATATTCCTAGGACTTTGAATGCTTTGTTCATAAATGATTGGCAAATATTTTGCACCTGTTAAACTGAAGAAATCGCTTTGAAACTCTTGTACATCAACATTTTGTCTAGGGGGTGGAATCATCCGTGTTACGTTGATAGTTGACAAAGTACCTCTGCGCATACACAAAGTCAATCTAAGACATACACAGCTACTTTATTATTGGGGTTCAACAACTGTTTGAATGATTAGTTAAAAGTGAAGCAAACTGTTTATCAGTCGTACGTGCTCTGCTAACTACCTTCAATGATTAGCGTTTTTCGTCTGCAAGTATTGTCAAGGCATAGTTTGCTTATTTTAGCGGTACTAAATAAACGATTTCAAGGTTTTGTTTAGAGTTCTGGACAAACAATCTGTGAGATCGCAAACCTCTAATGGGTAGGCTAACAGAACCTTGTATTGCATATGCTAAATAGATCAGAGTACGAGATTCTGATAAACTAAGGTGTGATTACAAGAAAATATGACATTTTATTAAAGCATTTAACTATTTTGGTTTAGGAATATGTAGGATTGTCAGTTGAGTTGCTTGAAGCAATTGGAGTAAGTGGTTCGAGATCATTAGTAATAATGCATAAAATGAATAATGATGACAAGTATGTATTCTTTATCACCTAACTTCTACATTGTGAACGTCATATTATGGTACTTTTGAAAGTTTCACTTTTAGTATGCCTATCTCTTTTTGCTAATTAATACATCTTGGAGCTCCATACTATAATGTAAGATTCTAAAATTTCCTGACTATTAAAATCAGTTGATGTGACTCCGGTTCCCTTTTGATTAAATTTAATTCTTGTTTGTGGGTCTCTTTTTAGAACATCATTTTGTCTACTTTGTTTAAGGTCAGTAAGCACTATCATAAGCTTTTTGACTAAAACTGTGAGACGGCAGAATATCTGGCCTATAATTAATAAGCGAATCAAACTACTTTATTTTTGTATTGCGAAAATTTATTTTGACAATAATTAATAATATATTTAACTCTAGAAACTACTCAAAATTTCCAAACGAATTAATAAAATTCAATTGAACTTTTTTTCCACACTTTACCTACATAGTTGCTGCGTCGGCAACAACAGAATTAAGTGTACTCAAAGTTGTTAAACAAGAGACTGAAAAACTAATGAACACGTTGAATAATGATCATACTGTAATCATTCAAGAAAAATTTACATTACAAAAGAAATTAAATGAACAAGTTTGTTTATTTCATTTCATTATTTAATTACATATTTAACATATTAAAGTTTCGGTTATGAAAAGTTATTATTTAATTAGATAATTATTTTATTTAAATATTACAAATTTTGAAAAGGTTAGCTGTTACGAAGCTCGTAATATCATTATTGTCTTTGCTTAATTTGACGTTTGTTCCAATTTTAAAATAAAATATCGTATGAATATCAAAGAAGAATTCACACATATACTAATGTAATTCCCGTTATCGTGTATTATTAGGGATTCAATCGACTCATGATCTCAACTATTAAAATTACTATGATATCCACAAAACCCTTTCTGATATCAATCAACATATACTCACTACTGACTGGCTCCAAGAGGTATTTCCTGGAGTTCTAGTGAGAAGCAGTGACTAGTGGAGTTTAACCAGGTCGGTTGTGAGATAGTAACTCACTGATGACAGTGATGGATGTGTCGCTCAATTTCGTGGATTGGTTGAAGTTGGACATTAATACCGTTGGATGCCGGCTCAGTGGTTTAGTGGTTAAGCGCTCGCGCGCGAAACTGATAATTCCTGGGTTCGAATCTCGGGAGTCGAGGTCGTGGATGCGCACTGCTGAGGAGTCCCACAATAGGAAGAAACGGGCGTCCAGTGCTTCGAGGTTTTCCATGGTGATCTAGCTTCAATTGACTCATGATCCTCAACTATTAAAATTACTATAATATCCACAAAACCCCTTCTAATTCATGTATTGATCAATTGAATAAATCATTAAGATCATGTTTATTTCACTAACGACATTTAATAGATTACATATTACCATGAAAATTATGTTTTATATTGTCAGCTGTAGGACAGGATTATAGTTGAAGGTCAATTTGTTTTGTATAACATTTATTGTACAGACCTGGTCTGGACTAACAAACAACGGATATTCATATGAATTCTGTTTTCAGTTTCATTTAGTTTCAGTTGGAGGATGGTAAAGTTGTTCAGGTGGACAATCATAAACAACGTGGCAAACAGCATAAATGTTAATCGAGCTAAATGTGTTGTAATATTTCATATCGTCACAGTAATGATAGTATTAGCTTTATTTTACGTCATATATTTGATTTCGGTTAAGTGTTCACAGCAAGAATTATGTAGAAATGCAACAAACTTCTCGTTTAGTATGCATTCAACTTGTGAATATTCAAAAAACCTACACGAATAGCTTTTAAGCAGCGATCAACCGTAGTTCATATTTATTCGTAAATTTTTACGATTGACATTTCATCAATGATATCACTAAATGTATTGAATCTATAAATTCAACAGTGACTGTATCTTGTTTCTCCAAAAAATGAAGGAGAACAAACTGTCATTGTGGTGACTGTTAAATCTCTTAAAAATCAGATGTATGATAAGTTGTAAGGTTTTTTTATACAGGGGCATAAAGTACACGGGCTTAGCAAATATAATTATTTGATTAAACCAAATTCAAAACAAGTAAACGTTTCTGATGATAGATCCATATTTGGGAAAACAGAGGCACAGAAATTTCAGCAGGCTATTCTAATACTATAATTAAAAAAGAACTGTGATAATAATGAATATCACTCACGGTGGTAGAGCTCGAAATATTGAATTTATTTCAAAAGAAACAAATAGAATTAAACAATTCAATGTATAAAATAATATTTTAAAAAAAAACTCAAAATTTCAAAAAGAAGACAAAAAAGAATAATTCCGCTCTATTGGAATTATTTTTATGCCATGCTACCGAAATTCTTCAAATGTAGATGAGGACTACCTCGTCGACCATAGTCAATAATCCTACATGTGCTTTATTATTATTCATCAACTGATTAATTCAACATAAGAATCGTACGGAACAAGTTCATTTCCATAACTATACAGTTGCACGTATATGTGTATATAGGATTGTAAGCTTTTAAATAAACTACATCTTTATTGAAATATATAATAAGTTGTGATTAGAATTTGATTCCCCTATTTCTAAGTAAATACAAATGGGAATGATCGAAAACTTCAAATGAACAACATGTGAAAAAAGCAAATAAATTATGCAATTCTCTGGAGATTATTCCTTTATTTTGGTTTTACAGTTATCATTAGTTTATAAATTACCACCAGTTATAAAATGTAAACAACTAATTTCTCAAAAGCATTTTTTTCTAAAAACAAATTAGAAAAATGAAATATACGAACTAATGGAACGTCTTAGTTCATATGAAGGTGGAAATAAACAGAATCATGCACAAACTACTGAAGTTTCCTCTGTGGGTCATTGGTCTACAGTAGATCAGAATCAAAACAATCCGCAAATACTAACTGAAGCTGAACGTCGTTCAATTTATGAAGGTAATCTAAAATTATGTTCTATTTTAATGCTCAATTTTTACTCATCTTTAGCGGTATTTTAATTTTTTCAGTTGTCATAGTGTTTTCTTAGTTCATAGTTTTTAACGACTCGTGTTTAAATCTATTGGGATTTGTTATAGTAAGACACTGATCACATTCTAGATGCCTAGATATTCTGTCGGAATCTCAGAAATATTTATTTAGCTGAATTATGGAGACATGTTGAATTCAAGATAGTTTTCTATGTTGGTTGACAGTAGTCCCAGAAGACAGCTGATAACTAGTTAGCTCTGGACAGCTGTTTTCACTGTGAATATCATAAGTTCAACTCCTTTATAAAAAGTAATTGTGCTACATTAGCAAGCCCCAAACTAGAATGAAACTTGTTTCCAATTCACTCTGGTTTTAAATAATCTTTTGGTTGATATCTGTGATGTTAACTATACTGAAAGTTGTTTTTCAGAACAGTTTCAAGCATAGGTAGTGATACAATATAGGAATATGCTACTTAGAATTTTTTCAATAATCCGAAATGTCAACTGAACACTTTTTTATTATCTGGTGATTACTGAAGTTATATTGTGTTCTGCAATAATTAATCATCTGACAAATACTCTTCACTTAAAGAATAATTATTCTAACTGTATATTTTTTCACTTATCACTTTCTAACATAACTGACACAAAATTTATATAGAAAATCAACACTTTTACTATCAGAAATAGATTGCAAAGCATAAATCAATAATAAAATGAAGTCAAATTAACTGGAACAAGTAAACAGTGATCCTCAGATATACAAAGATCACACACACACATGCACAGTAGTAAATAAATTTAATGGGTTGGCATAATGACTGTTGTCAATAGCGAATTCGCTGTTTATCAGTGTTCACCTAATTAACATTCGATAATGATATGCGTTTTTTGCAATCAATAGATGTCATAGTATATTGAGAATTATGCCTCAAGAAACTATTCTTTTCGAGCTGCATTCAATAAATGCACAGTCCTCAACTGTTTATACAAGCAACATGCCCAGGGATGCTATTAAAATAAAATCAATTTGATAAATGATCCTCTGTCTTTTTAAGTAGTAAAATAAACGAGCAAAGTCATCTGAACAAGTGATTGTTGACAAATCTTTATTTAGTGATATGAATTGTTCAGGTAAACGTAGATGAATTTATGTTTGAGCACAATAATATCAGTCGGTTACTCATAGCCAACGTATGACCCGACATGAATGTATATTGATTCAAGCATGTCGAGTGATAATCGTCAAAAAAGAAATTAACTGTAGTGTTAAACTCAATTTTAGATATGTAATTACAAAAAGATAGATGAAGTCGGAGAACGAAAGTTATGGAATGACATGAAGGCGAATTAGTTAAAATCTAGAATCCCTGAAGAAACTATATATATGGCTGCTTGATAATGTTTCAAAGATTGTTATGTTCTCAAACCCTTTTCGACGTTCCATGTGATTAAGTCAAACTGGTTTAGTCTTTTGTGATGGTTGTTTGGATTTTCCCATTGTTTGGGACTACAATTGATCAGTCTCTTTTGGTATATGTGTATCCTGTGCGGCTTACCTCGGTATTGCCATTATAATTTTGAACATCAGTGGAGAGATTCAAACAATCAATGCAAATGCATTAAAATTCACCCCACTGCACAAGGCAGTGGCTATCTGAACTCAGTAGCTAAGTGAATCAAAGTTTGGCTTATGGAGCGTAAAGTACAGGAGTCGAATGAACTATAGGATACAGGTACGTCCAGCTTATGAGTCCCAACTTTGGGGAAACGCGCGTCCTAGATTCCACTGTTATCCATCATCTAAATCCACTTTAGTCCATGTTTTCGTGCATAAATGTTTGCAAGTACATGCTAGGGAAAAAAAGATCAGTTAGTTGCATATAACTGCACTTGTGATAAAACAACTTAAATTAAGTACAAAAAATTATGAAACCCTCGAAACATTTAATACGAATAGAAAATTATGGTAAGATGATACACATGCAACCCATGGAAATGATCACAAAATATACGACAAATAAATGGATTTATTATATGATTAATTCACTGGATTCCAGTTACTGTTTGATACTCATTTTCATTCAGAATTTCAGAATGGATATTTAAAGATTATATTATTGCAGTGAAGTGTAGTTTTAGAGAATGTATTAAAATGATAACCCCGCAAATTTGATAAAGTTATTATTATTCTCTCAATATGAAATGGGGGAAAGTTGTTGTCACGATACATGTACAAAATCTTAAATAGAGTGGGAACTATTTCGGAGATTTTTGTCGACTAGCTTCAATAATATAATACCAAATTAATTTATAAAATGTGATTGTTAATATTAGATCTAAAGATATCAAGGATATTCAAGGTTTGACAGCGCTTTTGTCCGTAACGATTTTATAATCCAAAGATCTCAAGCTAGTCGAACCAGAATTCAGGAATGAACGGGTTCGAAGATATATTTGGAAGGTATTCAATATGTTAAGAAGTGTTTGATCCAAGCTGGCTAGTTGTTTTGAGGGGCACGTAACACGACGTACCCGATGTTGATCTGGTGCGGATGAATGACCGCAGGCCTTCAGCTAGGATCTTTCTTGTTAAACTAATGAGATCAACATCACTGTCCAAAACTTATAGAACATTTTATTTTGGGGATTTACTTAATGCTACAGATTCAATGTAGACAATTTATCATTAGGTGTTTTGACTTTATACAATGACTTATACAATCTTAGCACTGTGCCAAACCAATGGACGTTCGACCGATATGGGCAATCTAGCGTCCTTATTGGTCCTATGTCCGCTTAGCCCGTCCACTTGAGTCCAGAACAACAATACCAGCTTCCAATATGCTAATCGAATAATTTATTTCAGACATACTGGGCTTATATATTAACCAAACAGATCGCAAAGCACCATAAAATAGGAAATAACATTTGTACACAATGAAGCCAAAAAGTGGCTGTGAACGTGGGAGGCAATAGGTAATAAACTGAGCATAATTTAGGGACAGTAAGTTGTACAATGATAAATTATGGGTCAAAATGAAGCTTATAATAGGAGGAATATAAATATACATAATTTAATTATTGAATAATTATACCATAAGAATATATAGATAATATTAGTCAATTAATATGTCTCAGAAGTTACTCGTGATTTAATATTCGCTCGAATATAACATTAGGTACATTGAAACTTGAAAATAAATGGCGGCAAATATATCAATAAATATAATCCCTTTGTATAATATTTGGCTTTAGCAATCCTAGCTTAGCGTACATTATTGTAATGAGATGATTTGACTGAAGTATTTTCTGATTGCCTTGATGTGCTTTGAAGTAAAATCGAATAAATTCGAAGATATAATCACATTCTGACTGCATAAACTATTGTGTCTTTCAATATTTTCTATTTTTCGATGGTACTGTTGAAGAGTGCAATCTTTCTATTTCGAGTGACCTAAGTCATGAAAGTTTGATTGATACTAAGAAGTCTGGAAAGTCATTCACTGTACCTATTCAGTTGTCAACCGATTCCAAATTTGATCATTGGTCAAAGCGTTTAGAATTATCACGTCGGCGTATGACACAATTACAATTAGTTAATGAAGAGTTCGATTCAATTTATGAAGAATGGAAATCAGTTGATTTAAAAGAATTTTTATCGAAAATTCATAGTGATTTACCGAGTTTCCTAAATGCTCATGAATTAAATCAACCAATTAAATTGAAAGAAGACAACTTATCTGACCAAATAGTCATGATAAATAAAGATACTAAATCCGATCCTGTGAAGGTAAGTTTATTTTTCAATGCTTTATAGATTTGAAAGAATGATTGAAATGTACGTTCAGAAATATTTACAACCCAAACGTACTCACGCTATCATCAATCGTCAGAAATTTCTTTCAGTTGTGAGTGTAATGATTAAGAAAACATTTTTTCGAATAGATTTTTATACAGAACCGATTGGAGGTTCACATCTCCACTTTAACAACTTTTAAACATTCTACTACAAGGCATACGCACAAAATATCCATTTCCTCCTAGATTGAAAGCTGATATTTTCTTGCACAACATGCCAAAGATTTCCAAATAATTATTTAGGATCGTTATAAACGTTTACAAGTTTATATTATTTTCATTAATTTTTAGTGATGTAGTAAACGTGATTATTTTAGTCGTTTGTTGTTATTAAATTTGTTAATCAATTTGCATAATTGTGTTAAAGAGCTTCTCGACAATCTACAGTCTTTTGACTTAATGAAAACCTATAGTCGAGTTAATTGACTTACCATTCAGTTCAGTAGAAATATAACTCACTGAATAAGTTTAATGCACGGATTTGAGTTAATTATTGAAAAACCTAGTCCGACTTTATTGATTTTCAAGATAAGTCAGTAGCATGTTTAGATTTATGTACATGACTTCCAGTCAAACTTTATGTGGGAAGTCTAGTAATACTAACCAGCTCCTTGAACCGAATTAGGTGGAGCAGAATCAAAATCTGGATCATAATTGTTAAAAACGACTCATTTCAATCAATTAACTACTATTCTACTCACTGTAATTTCACACCTAATTTGTAAAAGACACTTAAAAAAAACAGTCACAACCTATGACAAACTAATCAATGGAAATTAGATTAAACAATTCTCAACAATATTATTCCCTTAAATTTGAAAAATTCTTTCTAAAGAGCAACCCTTGGTCTACGCTTATCATAAACTAACGACGAATGAAAAACAGTTAAGAAGTGTTTCGTACGATAACATTTTTCATTTTTCGTACATTTTAACCAAATATAAAAACTATTTTCTTTTGTTTTACAAAGGAACAACCTGTTAGTTGTAACACATCTTTCTCCCTGAAACTTGACAATGACCACAATTATAATCCAGTTTCTACACTCCCAATCGTAAGTTAACATCAACATAAAGTGATGTGATCAAATTATTGTTGATATTTTAGAGAATGGTGTTATGTTTTAATAAAACATCGACGTTCCACAATTTTAAAGTTTGTATCTGCTCCTTGAAAAACTGTCGATAGAATAGAAAAAACACTTGTGATAGATTTATTTAGGTTAGAAAAATAGGACATGTTATTCAAAGTTTATCAAGTAATCAACTTTGGGGGTACATAGACTAACTGTGTGAAGAATGTATTGTGTAATGTTTGGTAAAGCAGGCAAAAGCGCAATGTTTTATCTCCTTTACTCACCATTATCTTTCCCAAAGTCCATCAACGTTTCCCCAAACATCTCACGTATTCTTTTGTCTGAATTCTTTTTGTATTTTCCGAAAGCTTGCTTTCGTTCCTCAAATTATTCCAAAATTTACTAGTTTCTAAAGTTGGATAACGATTGTGGTGTATAACAAATTGACTGAAATTGGATTTTTAGACCATAGTGTTTCAACTTAGTTGTCCGAAAGTACTAGAACTTTAGAGTAGACCTGATGACTCCAAGTTCGATCCTGTATGTGAAGTCGTGCATGTGGATTGCCGAAAAGCCTACTATTAAAATCAAACATTTTTTGAATAAAACTGTTTCTTGATTAGTCGTAAAATCCAGGATATGTGTTTCGTACTGTTTGGGATTCATCTGATGGGAATGCCTACATCCAATTGTTGATTTTCGCATTGATACCTACCTACCAACCATCATTTTAAAAACCAACGCGCTATTCACCAAGCCAATTATTCAATTTAACCATTTACGTACCCAAAAATATCGGATTCATTTAAAGGGTTTACCTTTCCACCTGAGGTTCAGGGTTCTCTGAATTTCAATGGTCGTTCAGTTGATATAAACCTGAGACGAAAGCTAACTCTATCTTACACAACATCTTCATAAAATACTTAAGTAGACTTACAGTGGTGTAGAAATTTCTGATAATAATAATGTAATTTAGAATAACGTATTAATCACAACCAGTTGGTAATACCACTTTATATATAGAAAATCTGGATTAAGAGTAAACGAATTAATACTATGCAATGAGCTTATGTAAGAAAAGCTGAAGAAGTTTATGAATCTGTAAAAGCATAATTGATTTCCGATTATTGGTTTGCACTTTTAAAATACTAATCTTGTTTCAGAACCATTTTACGTAACATAATTTGACGCTTGGCAACTTTAATAACTGATAGGTAAAACCGTGTTGTTGTTATTGAGTTAATCAGAATCAGGACAGCAAACTTTACAGCAAATTCACAAAGAAATTCCAATATAATTAGGTATAGAACGAGGCAACGCTGAAAATCACTTCCCAGTTAGTTCTTTACGATTGTAAAATTGTCAGGAAAAAGTTTTTTGTGCATTCCCGGAATAAAAAAGATTGTCAATACAAAATGACACTAAATATTTATTTTGTATGTCAGCAATTGTGTTTGACAACGTAAATCATTGAGAATTCGTTGTCATTTGGTTTGTCTAATGTAAACTGTCTAGCAAATCACGTTAATGGTATCATTAAAAACAGATCAGGATTCCCACATATCTAGAGCCGTTTGATAAACATTCTAGCAAGTTACAAATAAATAAATAATATATTTGTAATATCCTAATGAGTAGAAAAATTAGATTTTCTGACGTCTCGTGACTTAGTGTAAGCCACTTATTCAGAGAATAAATAAATAACCACATCAAAATTAATCCAGGTTGGACAAAAAATTCATGGCAGTTATGTGAAGTGTTTCTTAGACTTTTTAGCTTCCTAGATTATTCCAAATGATGACTGTTCAGAAATCATATGAGTGAGTTTTCTACCTAAAATCCTCTTGTTGATTAGAAAATGTCAATCATAAGCCTTGAGAATTTCTGAATTATTGTAAAAAGGCTATATGCATCTACTTTTATTATTATACTAGCAAACATTTATTTGATTAAGCTGTGTGTGACATTAAAATGTTATCACTATTGTCCGGAATATAATATTTAAACAACTTATATAATTTCCAAATCAAAGATAATGATTTCAAGTGCGTTAAATAGAGGTTTGACATCCCATTGATACTATAGGACAGCACAAGATTTGATTAATTACCGGCTGAATCAATCATAAAGTATGCTGGTTGTTTGTGCGATAATTGAAGTAATTTAAAGTAAATTATAGATATTCACTGCAAAGTACTTTTTGTGAAGACTGTAAAAATCACTGAATGCACCGTATGTCTATCAATGGAGCGTACTTATTCTGGCTTTTATTTTATTAGTAGATACAGTTAACATTCAAGTTCTGTGGCTGCAATATTCATGTGAGATCTATTAGAAATACGTCTTTGTTACTTACTTACTTGCGCCTGTTACTCCCAATGGAGCATAGGCCGCCGACCAGCATTTTCCAACCCACTCTGTCCTGGGCCTTCTTTCCTAGTTCCATCAAATTCTTGTTCATTTTTCTCATGTCTATTTCCATTTCTCGGCGTAATGTGTTCTTTGGTCTTGCTCTTTTCCTTTAGCCTTGAGGATTCCATGTGAGGGCTTGTCTTGTGACGCAGTTGGTTGCTTTCCTCAATGTGTCCTATTCAATTACAGCTCTTCTTCCTGATTTCTTCCTCCACTGGAATCTGGTTTGTTCTCTCCCACAGTAGGTTGTTGCTAATAGTGTCCGGCCAACGGATCTGAAGTATTTTGCGTAGACAACTGTTAATAAACACCTGTATTTTCTGGATGATGGCTTTTGTAGTTCTCCAGGTTTCTGCCCATATAGTAGAACTGTCTTGACATTTGTATTGAAAATCCTGACTTTGATGTTGGTTGACAGTTGCTTTGAGTTCCAGATGTTCTTCAATTGTAAATATGCTGCTCTTGCTTTGCCCATCCGTGCCTTCACATTTGCATCAGATCCACCACGTTCATCAATGATGCTGCCCAAATATGTAAAGGGTTTTACATCTTCCAAATCTTCTCCGTCAATTTTGATTGGATTGGTGCATACTGTGTTGTGTCGGAGAATCTTGCTTTTCCCTTTGTGTATTATGAGACCTACTGCTGCTGAGGCTGCTGCCACACTGTTCGTCTTTTCCTGCATTTGTTGTTGCGTTTGGGATAGAAGGACTAGATCACCTGCGAAGTCTAGATCGTCCAACTGCATCCTAGATGTCCATTGTATCCCGTGCTTCAATTCAGATGTTGACGTCTTCATGATCCAGTCGATCACCAGGTGAAAGAGAAAGGGTGAGAGTAAGCAACCTTGCCTGACACCGGTCTTTACTTCGAATGAGTTTGTCAACTGTCCTCCATACACGATTTTGCAGTGTAATCCATCATATGAACTCTGTATGATATTGACTATCTTCTGAGGCACGTCGTAGTGTCGAAGAGGTTTCCATAGTGTTGTTCTGTCCACGCTATCAAATGCCTTTTCGTAGTCAATGAAGTTGATGTAGGGTGATGAATTCCATTCAATTGATTGCTCTAAAATGATCCGTAGAGTTGCGATTTGGTCTGTACACGATCTATCCTTACGGAATCCTGCCTGTTGGTCTCGAAGTTGGGTGTCTACGCAGTCCTTCATCCTGTTTAACAATACCCTGTTGAAGACTTTTCCCGGTTTTGAGAGAAGTGTGATGCCTTTCTAGTTATCACACTTGCTGAGATCGCCTTTCTTCGGTATTTTGATTAGAAGTCCTTCTTTCCAGTCTTTTGGTACTTGTTCCTCATCCCAAATCTTATTGAAGAGAATGTGGAGTATCCTTGCAGTTACTGCTACGTCTGCTTTTAGTGCCTCTGCTTGAATGTTGTCTGGTCCTGCTGCTTTGCCTCTCATGATTTGTCTGGTGGCCATGCTTATCTCTTCAAATGTTGGTGGGCCAACATTGATTGGGAGGTCCGTGGGTGCTACTTCGATGTTGGGTGGGTTCAGTGGAGCTGGTCGATTCAACAGTTCTTTGAAGTGTTCTACCCACCTGTTTTGTTGCTCTTCAATGTTGGTGATTACCTTGCCTGCGTTGCTTTTCACTGGTCGTTCTGGTTTGTGGCGATTTCCAGAGAGTTTCTTTGTCGTGTCATACAGTTCTCTCATGTTTCCTTCTCTTCCAGCCTTTTCCGCCGTCGTTGCTAAATCTTCCACATATTTACGTTTGTCGGTTCTGATGCTCCCCTTCACTTGTTCGTTTACTTCTGTGTATTCAGCTTGTGCCTTGGCTTTTTCTGCTCTTGTTTGACTGGTATTGATTGCTGCTTTCTTGTTCCTCCTTTCTTGAATCTTATCCAGTGTATCAACAGTGATCCATTCCTTGTGGTGGTGCTTCTTGTGGCCCAGAACCTCATGACATGTTGAAGTGATTGCCTCTTTGATCCCCTCCCAGTTGCTCTCCACAGTAGTTCCTTCTCCATTGAGTAGATCTTAATTCAAAGTAAGGAAAAAAGTGCTTTTGTTTCATTAGTTTATTCAAATACTGACACCAAGAACAACTCGATTTATGTACTGGATATGATTACCATGTTATCGTGTGCGGTAAACATTCACCTAATAAATAAGAACAAAATGTGAAATAATAACAAATATTAAATAAAAACTCTGAACGTGTTCACAGTGATTGATAACTTGAACTCAAATGGCTTATGTAAACTATGCAGATTATTTTTAAGTTATATTTATATAGTAATCTGAATCATAGGCACTTTGGGAATAAAGGTTGATACACTTCATTTAGGGCAGAATTTTTCATTGCTCCATTAAATAACACTCAAAGTAGATTGAATGAGTAGAATATTTAAAGTTTTCACATATGAACCATTCTCAAGATTAGTTTGAAATTCTAGCAAAAACAATGATAACGATAACATAAATTTGATTAGGAATGAATTCTAACCAGTACGTTTTGTTTATTTTTCTTCATATATACCTAGTATTACTTACTTGCTTACTCCCGTTACCCCGCGTGGAGAAGTATAGACCTCCCACCAGCACTCTCCATCCAACCCTGTCCTGGGCAATCCTTTCTAGTTGCTTCCATTTCCCAACGTAGTATGTTCTTCGGCCTTCCTCTTTTATGTTTCCTTAAGATTCCAAGTTAGGGCTTACCTCGTGATGCAGTTTAGTGATTTCTGCAATATATATCCCATCCACTTCCAACGTCTTTTCCTAATTTCCTCTTCGATTGGTGGCTGGTTTGTCCTCTCCGACAGAAGGCTGTTGCTGATAATATCCGGTCAATGGATACTGAGTGTCATGCATAGACAACTATTTATAAATACTTGTACCTTTTTGATGATGGTTGTAATAGTTCCCCACGTTTCAGCTCCATACAGTAGGACTGTTTTGGCGTTCGTATTGACGATTCTGACTTTGATATTGACTTACATTTAGTTATTCTGAGTTCTATAACATGGTATTAGATGTTGCATATGCTTTTTATGAAAATGTCGGTAAGGTTCAATAAAAAATTGAGTTCTAAGTTTGAAAAAATTTCTTTAAATTTATCAAATGAAATAAATAATCTTAACTATCTTACATCAACCTAATAAAAACATATTTAGTAAACAATTCGACTACGTTTGTTGTATTTCAACACGTTTTTATAATGAAGAAAGGAATTAAATGTTTTGGAAGTTGATCGAAGTCAAAATAATCAAATGTGAATAATTTTAAATTTGATTACCAAATGAATTTATTTATCATTTGAAATATGACTAAATATATGAAGATGAATTGCAAATTACAGATCTTATTCACCATAGCATTTGATGATTTATGTGTGAGTGTATACTTCTGTTAGATTTCATTATGAAATGAAACAATAAATCAGTATCACCCCCTCTTGGTTTACAGTAGTTATCTAACTTATGTTAGTCTACGATAAAATTCTCTGAAATGAATAAATTTCCATTAATCATCTGTTTAAATTGCATAAATCATTTGAGTTTTTGTTAATAAGTGAATAAGATTATTCATTTTGAGATACGATGATATTCCCTTCGACATTATTGAATTCTTTATAAAATGTACTGTATGTACATTCGTATGTTCACTTTTGTTAGATATCCTTTATAATGTTTTGTTATTGTAATGACTTTTTTTCCTCATTTTGTGCAAATATAGCATCATAATCCTCTTGATCAACAAGTTGAAATGAATCCATGCCATGAGAATGAATATCTAGCCTCATTTACTAAAGCTAACCCAGAATCAAAGTAGGTACTTTCTTCTTAAAAATCGACTTTGTAAAGATTTCTCGTGGTAATTTTTATCACTCAGTATCTGTTTGTATATTTTTAACTGAAATAATTTCTACTAAAGATGTTTTGATTTGTCACGCAATTTTGTAAACCTACTAGCCGTTAGTATAACTCGAGCGGAAATATCGTCATGAGTGTGTACAGCATTATCAAAAATGTAAATTCTCATTAATAGACCGTTTTATTGCATAAAGTTTAATAATTCTTTTAGACAAACAGACTCCTGATAAAAACGATCTGATTATCTTTGACAATTTTTCTAATAAACTACCGCGGAATGATATAATCAGCACTAAATGTTTACTCCTAAATAGATAACCAACTTCATTTAGTTTCCTCGAAATACATTACTCCACTTAGTGAGAACCTCAATCACCAAGATAGATGCCAGTGTAAAAAGGAGAACCATTCATATAGTCAACAGTGAATTATTGGTTCTAGATTAATGCTGTCCCTCACAATAAGGCGTCACTGTTCATCTATAAGCTACAGTTGTGCTTTCCTTTAACCATCTATCTGACCTCCGTAATGTGTGAGGAGTTAGTGTCTTGAATCTAATTGTTCATCAAATAATCCACTAGGCTGCATGAAGATTCAAATGCTATTCATATACATTTGAATGTTATAAAAAGTTAGAAATTCTTTATATTCACCAGTCTGTTAAGGTATATCACTAATAACGTAATGTAAGTGGTTGATAGCTAAGCTCCAGAAACATCAAACGTAGGTAACAATTACTTGAACGATCAGATAAAATGAAATACTTCATTTCGATGTAGTTTCTTTAAAAGTGTACCACAATCTATTTACACATTTTACACGCAGTTCTGACTGATTTTCGAAATGAATACTTATCATTGATAAAACATTCGAGAAGTTAGGTCTTAATCCTAATGAAAATTAAGTTCTTTTAGGCTTCGTTATTTGTAACTAACACTTATGTTTAAGAATTTTTTGATATTTATCTATGTATTAAATACAGTGTTACGTATTCGGCATATTATTATTTAAACTATTATTATAATGTATCTGTTTCCCGTATTCAAGGCATGCGAAGATAGGATTCGAACAGAATAATCAAAATGCACAAATTCATTCCAATGCAAGAATTATACCTGATTTTTCAGCTAGTTCATCCAGCATAGACACACCAAAATCAAAGAAATTAGGTAGATTGAAATGATTGTATTGAAATTTTCATAAAATTTCATTATTTATTTCAATAATTAATTAATAATTATTACCAGTCAAATGAATTTAATGTTGGTTAACTGTGCAATTTCACATTATTTGAAGATCTCAACCAAAATACCTTTTTTTATTTTATAACTGTGACTGATATATCTTATACTTCTTACTTTAACTTAATGGTGAACCGTAGAGGATTTGGAATAAATGTGTGTCATCTCAGGTTTACACACATATTGGTATAAAGGGAGGAAATTTTCACTATGAGTGCCATACATTGAGCTTCTGCTTAGATTTTAAGTTACAGTTATTATTTTTCATTAAAAAAATGTAAATAACTCAATTTTACTCGAAATAACAGAGGCAAAAAAACATTGGATACTATTTGTTTATATATATTATAATCTGTACTAATATTACTTCATTTTATATGGAACTTCCAACTCATTACAAACTGGTTAAATGCATGTTATTAACCTAAATTTGAACTGGATTCTTTTGAAATTGATTTTGGCAGGTAAACTTGATCCGAAACTATGGACTATTTATTTATTTGAATTTGTAAAAGGACTACGTGTTAACTGTTAATAACAAATTTGTTTTCATATGACCGACATTTAAACTGATAATCACGTATATACGTAATTTTAATCTGCATACAGATATAAACAAAACTAGGTTTGTTTTATTAACCACTTATCGCTCGTATAACACTTGAAAATTATCGTGCAAATACTCCATTTGCCTGAATATTGAGACTAAAGACAAACATTCTTTGTTGATGGACTAAATCGCTATATGGATGTTATACTCAAAAATTAAACTTGTAAAACACTATATTTATTGATATAAATCAATCCACTGTCCTTATTTACATTCATCACAGACATTCTTTTAGAGACATTCTCTCATCGTTTAATTTTTCAGGGATTGATTTCGTACCAGAAAATTCATTTGTTGACTTAGGATATACAGATAACAGTCCATTCTGATGATGAGGCTAACAAAAGTCTTCTGATTGCATTTGATAACAATACAAACATGTTTTGGATGAGATTCTCTCCCTTCGAACCTAATATGTTGCTTCAGGACTGCATCAATGCCTCAACTAATGATAGGGAGTGAAGTATTTCAGTGTCTTGACCACTTCACTTGACTTGTAGGTCTCGTCAGCCCTAATGGGTTGGTGTCCGACAAAATCTCGTTACGGATTCACAAAGATCAGCTGGTCTTGGTCAACTCGTGTCACATGTGCTGTAGGAGAAATGTCTGTTTGCCAACCAAAGGACGAGTTTATTACACAGCAATGCACTACGTTTTACTTTATAGGTGTGAAAGATGAGCATTAAGAATAGATGACATTTTGGGGCTACCAGTATCCGATCATAAATGTATTCGAAGGGTCATTCGTACATTTATGGACCATGGAGTGGACAGTCTCCAAGTTAGGGACAGAGTACTAGGTAAAGATGAAGATTCGATCGATGAGGTGTAAAATTCGACGATGGGACGAAGGAATGGATATTTTTTCCGAGAAGTAATAAGTATTTACATAATACATATACATAGCTATCAATCGTTGATTTGCATCTTTCGGTGTGTTCTGCTGTCTGAACTGTCTTCTTGTCTGGTCTTCAAGTGTTCATTCAACACCATGCTTTCGATGCACTGACCCTTCACTCCGTTTAACAATTGTTGCAACTTCAGTGCCATGTTCCACTACACACTACTTACAAACACCCTTGTGAGTAGCCTCCACTACAGAGGCAGTAATTGTTTGTCGGCTGGGGTGGTTGGGAAGTGTTATATATACTAATCACTGTCTACCTCGGCGCACGATGTTGTCTTATGTAAGAGTATTTCAGAAGAAAGCCATGAGAGGACAAACCAAGACTCGACATCAGTCCATTTGTGGTGCACGCTACACATGAAGTCATTGACTGTTGTACTGAACCATGTCGGTGTATGAAGATTAAATGGTTGGGTTGCGCATGATAATTGTAACCAATGGTTGGAGACTTTGGATAAAATGAATCCACTCTTTATCTTACCTTAGTTCCTGATTTCTGAAATATACTCATATTTTTCTTTCTACACCTAGTCACTTATGCTAGTACAGATATTGCTACAACTTCTATCATGAGATTTATCTTGATATTTTTTAACTCGCTATCCTAATCTGATGTAGTAAGTTGGACCAACGCATGTGTCAGATTTAACGTTCTGTACGACTAACTGACTAAAGTTATTCACAATAAACTAAGGTATGTATTAGCTGTTGAGGTCCGTTGTAAAAGTGTTTACTCTGACGACAATGAGGATACGCCAACTCAACCTTAACTACTTCCAAACAATTCTTGAAACGAAGAACTTCAGATTACACTCCAGTCCGATTGTGAACCGATGACACCGATTATTCGATACAGGAATTATCAAACCAAATAACTTCATTTAACGCAAATTCCATATTTAATTAATACAATAAAATATACTGGAAGTCAAATTAACCAAATTCATACTAAATGATATACGAAAATTAACTGGATGAAAACTTTACTTATAATCAACAAATAATCTCTCTCAATATATATATATATATATATATATATATATATATATATCATAACCAAAGTAAAAAAACTAGATATGGATCTAAACTTCATTCCAACTGAAGTCATATTTCAGTGGTTTTACGAAGCTGTGAGAATGTCTCTGATTCAGAAACTGCATCACATTATTTTACATATTCTTTCGGAAAATGAACTTTTTATGATTTGAGATACACCTTTTTTGGTTCGTGTAGTCGAGTTGAAAAGTTAGTTACAGGTCTTCCTGTCAATCACTCTCAAATACCTAACACCAAATAACATTGTGACTTCCTATAACGTGAACTGATGGCTTCAATTTAAAATTCACCAATAGAATTCATAAATATGACACTGGATAAGAATTAGTTATCGATTAATGTAAGCTGATACATCGATTTTCAGACAAAAAGTACTAAAGAACATAAGGTTATTTTTCTGTGTTATTTTTCCACAAACTGGTCTGCCTATTAGATATACCCATCTTTTATTGTTCTTTTTATTTTTGGTCAATAACATGTTGGATCTAGACGGCTACGAACATGTTGTTAGTTTGATAAATATATGTGGTCCGCCACATGTTTCACATCAATTCAATGAATACAGGAGAAATAGATTTACCGATTAAAATGAAAGACAATGTTGCAGGAAATTTTAAAAGGAACACTGACTTTACACAATGATATTTATTGAATCTGTTATGTTTGAGCACTGAGCCCATGAAATCCCAAACAGATTCTAAGTCGCTACTATCAGGTCAAACAAATGAATTAACAGTAGCTCGACAGAAGATCCACTTCAACTTTAGTTCTTGTATAAAAACAAAAGTCTGTTTATATTGTTATGAGTAAACGTGCAGTTTTTTTATTTAGAATTTACATCAGAACTAAAAAAACTGTCATAATACTGGTGAATAGAAAAAAGTAACATTTAACTCGTTTAAAATTTAGTATCCTGTCGTTTTTCTTAACTGATAGCATGCTGGTTTAGTCAAACAGTAGGGTAAGATCATTGCATTATGTGATCAAATACTGGATTATAGTTGAAATCGTTTTTTTTAAATTATCACAACCTGTGGATTATACATATTTCGTGATGAATCTATTTTTGAGTGATCAAATGTAATATCATACGAATTGATTGTTGTTCAATAGTAGATAAAATTGTTCTGAAATTATCATTGTACTTGATCAATAAAGTTTCACGGTACGGTACTTAAGTTATACGAAATTGGAGTGTATTATGTGTCAATCTTGTAAGAAATTAGTATAAAAGTATTAATTATTTTCTTGTTTCAGTTAAAAACCCAAAGACTAAAGCATAAAACAAATTTATAAACTTTTAGTGAATGAGTTTATCATGTCTAATTATGTGTACATTTCGTGGTGAATTATATATAGTCACTAAGATGTTTTTGACAGATACAGACTAATAGATTTTTAAAAATTATTTCTGTAATAATCATGATAGGTGTTCTATAAATAACGTCATTGTTATTTATGCGGTTGTTCTATGAATGAATGACTTTATTTACATACTAATGAGCAGTAACTATGTTGGTATTGATTTTCGTTGAAATTAGACTATTTTATTTACCGAAAAATATTAGCAATATTAAGCGACCATCACTTGCTATCATCCGTTATATTCTATCTCGTACCTGAAATGATTGAATTTAAGTAGCCACTGCTTCTCACCAGAAGTTTAGGATTTTTTCTCGAAGATAGTTATAAGCATGAATATATGGTAACTTATGGTACAGGTGATTTGTGGGGGTTGTTTGATTTGAAGATTGGTTGGAACATAAGCTGATATTAGCTAGGTAACGAATAAAAACTAGAAAGAAATTGAATTAGTGTTTTGTTTTGTTATGGGAGTCTTCAACAATATCCATACATGATTTTGCCAGGTATCGAACTAAGGCGATTCAGTACATGTGATGATCTATTAAACTTAAAACCAGTGAGTTGAGCTATGATGAGTTTTATTTTCGAATCCAGTCAGTCAGTGTGAAGCACGAGGAATTCAGTATTATTATATATGTCATTAGGATATGAGTATCAGTTTAAAGAATCCTCTCAGTTTTTAAATCACTTTTTAAATTAACTAATCCCATTTACCAAGACGACTTAATGTGTGTTACTGACACTTTAATCTGTGTTGTTTATATATTAGACTATGATTAAAAAAATCCATGGTTTAAATGTTTCTTTCTGTACTGTTATATTGTCGTCAGTTTTTTCAAAGTATTTATTTTTGTTTTACAAAATCGTTATACTTTATTATATTTTATAGAGTTAAAAAAATCCTCCAATGAAACATTAAGTATAAGTTCTCATAAGCCTATAAAATCATCTTCAACTGTTACTCATCATAGTTTTAAGAAGTCATCAATTGATCACCTTCCAAGTTATAGATCAAAAAGTGTACTCTCTACAGAATCAATATCTCAAGCGGAATCCGCTGAGTCCAAAACTTCAAGAAATTCTCAAACTAATTCATTAGCCAACGAAATGTTGAACCATACTATTTCATGTAAATTTAACAAGAATGATAATCAAAATAAATCTGTGTATAGTGAACAAGATAATAATGAAAACGAAGAACAAAAAGAATTCCTTAATTCAAATCAGGCTAATCTCAATGATGAAATTGCAAATAATAATCATAATAATGATACTATTGAAAATGGGTTTCCGTTACTTCTGGAAACCTCACGTTATGAAGGTAAACATAGAAATTTGATTAAATGTTTGTTATTAAAAAGAAATTTATTTTCTACTTGTTACTGTTTTTATGTTGCTCGTATAACAAGTTGTTTTGTTTCATTTGAAAAATGAAATCGAGAAAATATTCAATTTGAGTGTGTGATTTTAGTGAAGTTTCGTGATATGAAGTGCATGGTTTAATCGTGAAATTTTTGTTATGCTTATAGACAATCATAATCCCAGAGAATGAAACATCACCAAAATATGAGTGATATCATCATTATGGTTTATTGTTGAATGAGTTTTTGAACAGTTTAATGAATGCATGAAGTGAAAGAACATTTCTTCTCAATATTTGAAAACTAAAACGTGACCGTTTTGACAGGACACAAGCAAATGTTCCTTCTATTCAGTGGTCATGCTTCCAGTTTAGTCAGTCGGGAACTAACAACTACTCATATACCTCTAACAGCACTTAATTTCATCTTGTTTTCAAGTCAAAATGAGTGATATCGACGTGTTACGATTGTGTTCTGATATCGGTTTCCGAACGGTTAAAAATCGAGCAATCGAATTTCTAAATTTTTAGGTTTATCAAAAAAAAGACTTACACCATTGAATCAATTAGATTCAAACCCTAACTTCAATTGCTTCTTGATATAACCGGATCGTTATCTGTGACCTACGAAAACAATCAAATCAGGTGTAATCCATTAAATCATCGATGTTAAAATTAATCATGATATGATGCGAAGAGAAGTCAAAATTAGATTGATTCACTCATTATGAGTTTTGTTCAACATTACTTCGGTTTTTGTTTGAATGTGACCATTATTCAGTGTAGCATTCGGTTTTGTTTTCCAATGTGATATTTTATTTTGCATAACATACGACATTGTTGACAAGATCTATGCTCAGCATATGATTTGTTATACATCTAAGTATTTTTCATATGTGTGATTTCATCCTAATTATTAATCAAAGTGTGTATACAATCAATATATAAGTGAGTGTATTTTTGACTAGCGTCGTCGTCGTGTTTTGGGGGGTCAATAAATCTTCCGTTTTTGTGTTCATACTTTCGCATCGTGGGAATTGCAGAGGTCCCTCGTTTTGAGTATAAGTGATAAGCGTTTCCGATATAACAATCACCGACGACAAGATATAAAAAGTTGCATTAAAAGAGCCAAGACAATCAGCATTAAAATGACAAGTTATAACAAATCAACTAGAGAACAAATATTGACATTTTCGTTTCTCGTCTCTTTGCAACAATATATCTATGATCTAGTATAGATGTATGACTACGAGAGTAAATAAACAATGCAAAACCATGAAAGTACATTAGTGCTTTAAATTTATCTTTGAAAAATATAGATTATATAGGTTACCAATGAATGTGTAATTTACATAATAATAGTGACATTGTTATTGAAATAATAAGCAACTTAGAATTCCCATTGAAACACTGATGTAAAACGAACAAACAAACAGTTAACCAGCGGATATTTTATTTCAGTTAACGTTCATCATTACTTCTGTCATCAGTCAGTCATATTCAACATAATGGATATCAGAAGGGGGTTTTGTGGAGATTTTAGTAATTTCAATTGTTGAGATATTACAAATGTCAATTAGCTTAAGTTACCATATCATATTAACATTACGAGATGAAATTAACCAAGATGAATAGTAATGGTGTCGAAATAACGCAGTAGTAACGACAATGAAATATTAAGTAGATATTCAGCATACAGTTTAGAAAAAAACAGAATGAGAAGGCTTGTATGAATGGACATGGGGATTCAAAATTTAGAGTAAGATAAAGGGTAAGTGCAACTGACTTATGTCATTCAACATCTCAAACCTACTGATCCCGGTTATTGCATGAAACCTAAGCACTATATATCATACTATCAATATAACTCAAACTAACAGTTAATGACCTTTATGCAGTTATCGTAATCACTATCATCAACTCCACATTAATAAGCAGGTTTTGTTTTCAAAATTTATTCATAAAATCAATAGCATTCAAGTATAAAGTTCAGTTAGCTAACAGTCTATTTTTTAAATAATTTAAAATAACCCATCACACAACTTATGTTAACCTAAATAGTAACGATCTTATTATGAGTTGTAAAGCATTATAATGTCAAGTCATGATGACAAATTAATTAAGAAAAAGAAATAAGGGTTTGTTCAACTTTGTTTTTGTTGTTGTCTACTCACAAGAATAAAACAGCAAACAAATTGTTGTGCTTTGTCACACACACACACACACGTTGTTCTACTACTGTCAATTAATAAACAAAAGTTATTCACATATCAAATGATTATAAGAATTGGTTTTTAAACTTAATTTTTTTGAAAAAAATGAATAAGCACACACTTCAGTTGATTTTCCATTGTTTAGCATAGCATTATTCCATTTATCTGTATTGATGGTTGCTCTGATTGTTAGATAGTGGCATTTCTCTCATGACTTCCGAAGAATCTCGGCTCTCACCATGTGGCGTCATAATTCTTCTCAATGAAGATAATTTAACTCGGAGGGTTGGGTTTAAATGGTTTAATTTGTTTATCCTGGCTAACGATTATTTAACAAGGTTGTTTTCTGTGGGATAGGGTCGATAATCCCATGTCTAACACTCCTCCTTTACACGTGCTTGAAACCATCGTTAACCATAAAAGAGCTGCAGGCAGAATTAAAGAACATTTCGAACTCAAAACAACTGTATGCAAGGCAACATCCAAGTCAGAGCCAAGACAGTTCTACTGTATGGAGCAGAAACTTAGAAAACTACCACAATTATCATGAAAAAGGTACAAGTATTTATAAACAAATTTCCGTTAGCCGGATGCCATCAGCAACATCCTGCTCAGGCAGAGAACAAACCAGCTTCCATCTGGGAAAAAAATGAGAAAACGATACCGAAAGTGGATGGGACATACATTGTAGGCATCATCAAATTGCATCACGAAACAGGATCTAACTTGGAATCATGAAAGAAAAAGAAAAAGTGAAGTATCAAGGAACACGTTGCGTCGGTAATTGAAAGCAAACATGAAAAGGATGAATATCAACTGGGAGGAGCTGGAAAGGAATTCTCAGGACAGAGTTTAATGGAGAATACTTGTGAGCAGCCTATGCTCATACACGGGAAGGGGATAACAGGCGTAAGTAAGAAAATAGGCACAGTATTAGTAAAGGAGTGAGGTCAGTTTTAAAATACAGTAGGAATGATGTAGCCAGTGTCCCTTGTGACTAAAAGTCTTCATTTTTGAAGAGTTTTGTTGTTGAATTTTTTTCTGAATATTTGTTGAGATTTTCTTTATGTTTATTTCTATTTGAAAAAAGCATTGACTGATTATTCTATAACTTACTAATTCTAAGCAAGAAAAAATTAGGAGACATGAATTGGTTAGTAAAATAACATAATGTAAAGCAGCTTCCAAACAAAAGAAGCAAACGACTTAATCAGGATGAATGATGTGGATTGTTAGAATTGTGAGACATATTAATAATAATAATAATAATAATAATAATAATAATAATAAACACTTCTTTAAGACATTTCTTAAATCTCAGTGATTTCCAGTATCTTTGTTTTCTATTTAAGGTCATATTAGCCTGTAAAATATGGCAAGTTAAAATTGTTTAATGCACATTAAATAACCGATGTCATGATTGACTTTTGTTGACTTGTTTGTATTTATTGATTTAGAGAAAGAAATTCATATCGGATTATTTTATTGATCGATAAGTCAAATTGTTTGTGAATTATTTTACAACACAGTTTAAATTAGCTCGTCAGGCCATTTTAGGTATTGTGGCTATTCATATGTTCAATATTTGTTTTTCTTGGTATTCTTTCATCTGTGTTTTCTTTCATTTTGGTGGAACTAAAGTATAGGGACGACCTTGAGCACTTTTAGAAATGACCTTACAAAATCTCAGTCACTTCGACTCAAACTAGGGTAATGAAATAAATAGTGTTATGAATTAAGATTAGGAGTTTGAATAAGAAGTTAGGATAAGAAATTACGGTTCGGAGTTTTATCACTGATTGGCATCAGTGAAACACTCTATCTTAAATCTGATTGGTTTGTCATTATCATTTAATTACATCTTTATTCTAAAGCAAATAAACAAGTTCATCATAATCATGGAATTATTTTTCTTTTTAAACCAATCATTGACATAAACTCTACAATCAATTAATTATTAGGTACTTATGATGAAGAACTAAATTAATCTAAAATTCTATTTTTCTTTTTTAAATAAAATGCAAAAGTATTGTACTTGTACTTGTACATTTTGATTAAGTTGTTTTTAAATTGAATGGAATCTAGTTTACTATTTAATTATCATCCAATAATTGTTCAATATTTCAATGTGTATTTATTTATACTATTTATTGTAATATTTATTAGGAAACTATGTCACGGGTTTAAAATTGGTTATCATAAGATTTTTCATTGAAAAAAGGAACATCATATATTTTATGATTATCTTCTTTACAATGTTAAGTGTATAGTAATATATTTGTTTAAAAACCGAAAAACTTACAGTATTGATCTGATAACGTGTTTTGTCATCACTATCGTTCGGTCACTTACTTGGAATACAACAATTCCTTACTTTTGATTTAAATTCATTTGTGTTATACTTCATATGTTATCAGTAGACATCCAAATCTTGTCTTTTGAATAATACTTGAGTAATTATACAAGTAAACTATATTTTAATATAAATAAACAAATAATATATTATTTATTTATAACAATCTACCAAATGCTCAATTTATTCGAAATTATAAAATCAAACCTTGTTAATGATACCTATATTTCGATAGTTGAATTCGTGAGATTATCTAAGCTAGACCACCATTGAAAACCTGGGAGCACTAGACAACCGTTTCGCCGGAGTATGGGATTAATCGACAGTGTGCACCTATGGTTTCACACGCGGGATTCGAGCCCGGGAGCTTCGGTCTTGCTCGCAAACGTTTAACATCTAGACTACTGAGCCGGCACCCAACAGTGTTAGTGTCTAACTTCAATCGGTCCATGATCTTTCTCAACAGTTCATCCATCGTCTGAGGTGGATAACTGTCTCCACGCGAGACGGATTGGACTCCACTAATCCCAGCTTCTCATTGAAACTCTAAGAAATCCATCTTGAATCTTGTCACTACTGAGCACATGATTAATATCAGAACGGGGATTTGGGAGATTGTAGCAATTTTAATAGTTGAATTCATGAATTGATCTTAGTTATATTTTTATTCTTCTTCGAACGATATCAGATCTGTAATGACAATCGGTTTCAAATTTATCAGTTTAACACAGAATACTAAACTGAATTTTGAAACACTTATTTATAATCATATTCTTGTTTGACCTAATTATTAAAATATTGTGTAGCGTTGTTTCAGTATACATACAGATGTTGCTTTCAATTTCATTTAGTGTAACTTCATCAGAACAGTTCATTGCCTCATCAGTTCTAGATTTACATAAATTTTACCAAAGAAGGAAATACCAAACAGAACATAGGGCACGGGATGCTATGATGTTTGATATTGAAAACAGTGGAACTTGACCGATAAAATCAAATCAAAACTAAGCAGCTGGGTAGACATAACTTGGGTTACTATTCAGTTGTTAATGTTACAAAAATATTAACAATCTTGTGTATCTATTGAAATAGCAACGTACAAATCATACTCAATTGTTTTTTGAATGTCACTTTGATTTTATAAGCTTAATGAAAAAAATATTCTCTGTTTTCTGACTTCAATAGGTTCACCGAAACAGTGTTCATTGGGTAACGATGATCAGAACAAACCTATATCCAATGAGAATACCTCACCAACATCACGCCATACAATAACAAAACAAACTGATTGTAATGGTTTAATGGAAAAATATTTAAAGCTTAGTTTAAATACTAGTTCTAAATCACCGGTGTCTTATCCATGTAATCAAGCAGTGAACGGAACTAAGATAACAAATGGATATCATTCACCTAGTTCAAAAGAAAAACCCTTATGGTTCGAGAATGGAGTGAGTGGAAATGGTCCTTTTCTCTTATTTTTACCAGATATTGGTTTTGACAATTGATCTTTTAATAACATATCTTTATCAAAAGTAAAGCACGAACGATAATGATGTAAAAACTTCACACGTACATATCCACTTAGCATTGGGCATGGAGACAAATTAAAATAGTTTTCGAGCCATAATTTTCACGAGCATATATCACAAAGCTAACACATAGTGGGTACAGTGTTGGTGTTTAAATATTCAATAGACCTGAAAAATTCGTGAAGATATTTATTCAAGTTCCAAGTTGTTAGTTCAGGACACTGCTTTCTAACCCTCATCAGATTACTTCTTTCAAATTAGGATAGCTTTAAGACACTATTAAATACGGTGGAAATCAGTAAAAATACATCCTAAACATAACTCTTAGTATAATTTGTTGATTTCTATATTTAATGAAGATTACCTCTTCTTTCTCTACAGAAAATATTGTGATTGTTCCACTTGATTACACAGTTAACCTATATGATTAGTCCATTAAAACAAGTTGAAAGCATAAATACATATTGGACTATTTGCATAGTTGGAAAATAGGTGACTTAAGGTTTTTAAGTTGGATATCGTCGACAATTCATTTTAATCTGCACATCATTAAATCCTTTTTAGTTTTTATGGTAAAATTTTTATTGACTTTCGTACAGACACCATAATTTTAATTCATTCAATAATTGTGTATTTTGTCTATTTGAAATATAAACCATTTTTATGTCTCGAAAACAGTAGCATTGATTTATTGTATTTAAATCGATTTGATTTCCAGCTAGTTCAACTGTACATTGTTAATTGTAACCAAATTGAATAAATCATATTTGTTTTATTGATTAATTACTGCATAATAACTGTGATTATCTATCAATTATGTTGAATTGTTGTCTTTTTTTATTATTCTCCATTTTAAAGCATCATTTTAGTTCTAGTGAATCAGAGATTATCAGTTTGAATAATGGTAAAACTATGTGTCATTTTACACCAGGAAATTTCAACAAAGATGAATTAATTCCAAATGAGTAAGCGAAAAAATATATCATATTTCATGTGAAATGATAATAAATCATAATTCAAAATGTTTGATTATTACCATTACGATTGTAGATCAAAATATCAAAGTAACTAATCAATAATCTAAGCCTCAGCAACTTGATCATTTCTATGATTATGTAAACGTTTCCAGTTTTATTTGGTGTATTTCTATGACATACAACAATTTACACTTTATTGAACTATTACTGTTTTCACCCTGAACTGACATCAGTACTGGAAAATAGCTTTACCTTAGTATGTAATTTCCCAGCAATACAAACTTACGACAAACTTTGGGATGAAATCCTAGACTTGTAGGTCTTATGGTGATCGTTTGGATCTTTCATTTAAGTAGATTTATCACTGCACGATCGCAGTTTATTTTCAAAAGTGATCCAGAAAAGTACTGATTGCAGGAAAGTTGAAGGTTCTGAGTTCGGTATCATGAGTGCCCCTTATTGCAGAGTTCCAAACTAAAGTGGAGGAATTCTCTAGTTCCCATACACTTACAATGCTTTTTATGTCAATTTTTAATGTAGAATAAACTTAAGTTTGCTTTCTAAGAGTATCATTCTGGATACACTAATATGTGTTCTGTACACAATGGAGTTTTAGTTAGTCATTGTGTAGCAAGTTACTCTTACGTGTATAATTTTATCCTCATTGCTTACTTAACTAAACCTATGAGGTTTATCATAATGACATTTCAACAGAGTACACCATACTTGGTCTTAGATACTAAGGAATAATAAAACAAGAGTTTTGAACATGTTTCGTACATGGTGTCATTCATCGGGCAGAAAATCGTCTCAGTATTTTAAAAAATGCTTTCACCTCCAAAACTCCCTAGAATATTGAAAAAGCGTCTACTTTATCAAAAAACACTTGATAGGTAACCCGTTCAACATCTGCATAAGTAACAGTTATATTGCATGTAATACAATTAATCTTTTTGACGAATTTAGATTGTGTAATAATTTGACAATGGTTTCTTGTAAACATTATTTACTATACAATTTACATTATGTGATACTTAAGGTATGTATGTAGTGATAATGACTGTTTCATGTATCACCCATACTGACAATACAGTATGCTAGGGCCTGTTATACAGTTGTTTTCCTAAACAAGATTTTGATATGTATACAAATATACATTTGAAACATTTGGGGTTTGGAAGGAAAACAACATTTTTCCCATACTAATTTTTGGCATCAGTATTGATTTTCCCATACTCTTAACTATGACATAGTACATATTGTTAGTTTTCCTTATATACAAACTATTATGGGAAAAGTAAATATATTTGGCAAGCATTATACTGGAAATCAATAGGTACTAGGAATAGTTATTTAATTGATAAACAAAAATCCTATTCATGTCCTTCCAAGATACCAGGTAAGTCTTTATTTCTGTTTAAGCCAAGTGACATAATTGGTGTACTAACCTTTTTTATTAATAAGACCATTTTGTTTTGCTTGACTCAATAGTTAATTTTATGGTGTGTTCACTCTGATAGCTATCGCTTTTCGCGATTACCATTTTTTAAAAATATTTTATATGTGCACGTACCATTGTCTTTCGGTTTCCTTCTTAAACTGATTTGACAATGGGTATCGTACGAAATTCCCATCAGTTTAAGAAAAATTGTTATTCCGGATAACCGGACGGTTATTTTACTCCAGTTTAATAGTGAATAAGACTCTACCCAGATCTCAAAGGCAAGTGCATCATCGTTAGACTACTGCATCACGTCCTAATGATTCACACTGTATTACGATGGCCGTAAATTACCTCATTTTCTTATTTTTGATAAATGATATTTCAAATATATAGGGTAGTCTGCGTTAACAATTTCTCAATTCATATTTCTACACTGACTCTTGATGTTTTCTGATTGGTTATTCTTGTTTTTAGTTTGAAATTTTCATTATGTGATATAAGATCAACTTTGTTTTCTGTTATCATTTTGACCACTGAATATCAAGCTTTTTTCTGAGTTCCTAATTTTTCTTGGTTTCATTGAGCGGGAGATTATCGTTTAAGTGTTGCGTATTAGTCGTTCAGTCTATTCAGTTTGAGTAGATTTAGTTTCTTATTAAAATAATCTTACTATCGATCTCAAAATAGAAAACATTGTAAACCTTATTCGATTCGTAATATCAGTACACTATAGTCATAGATAGTGTCAATAACATGTTATTGGTTAATTGTACAAGTTGTGACATCTTAAATTGGCCCGACCGTTGTTGCTACCTTGACGTGGTGGTCGGGCTTGCCTATCGTGATGAAGCAACCGAGCTATACTGGCTGGAACAACCGTTCCTCAAGGTCCTACCATGTCAGACAGGTCGGTTGAAGAGCGCTAAGACTAAAAGCAACAAACTCAAGATCCGAAGGCGAAGTCGTACTGCTGACTGTACAGAGATGTGACAGCAGTAAGGTGTTTCCTTCAGACATCCAGCGTGACAGCGATGCTGCCTTCCCACAAGGAGGGGTGAGGTTAGAAAAGGTCGACCCTAAAAATGCACACCTCACCTTATTCCACGGATATCCGTCTCCGGCGGTAAGGTCCCAAAAAGTACGGAGCTAACACAAAAATTACCCATAAAGAGGTCGTGTGTGACCGACCTCAAGCAGTTGTCCCTTGGGCACTGCGGTCATGCTCCCAGGTCACTGAGACCGCCTCTAATCCAATTTCCTTTTCAGATACCTCCAGAAGAACCCTTCCAACCGGGAAGTGATAACCGCCCTCATACCTCTAACAGCACTCAAGACCATTGTATTCATAATCTTAAATTGGACTTTCATTAAAAATTATCTCAATGATAAGTTACCACTAAACAAACAATTAGAATTATTCACTTGGCTCGTTTCACTCTATCCTAGACTTAGTTGAAATATAATTCCTCATGGATTTCAATAGGCGCAGAATAAAACTTTAGTACAAGTTCCTGGAAAGATAATAAAAATTTCCTAAGTTGAATATCATAAATCTAGTTTATGTGACCTTTTTTGTCAAGCGCGGGTTCGTATACTCAATTTCGAAATATGCTTTGTGTAACTACCGGTGATACTACTCAACCGCCTGGTTCGAACTACATTAAGCGGGGCTCGAACTTGTGACCTAGTAGTTGAAGGTCGAGTGTTTTATCAAATAAGCTACCGCTCCACAGGTGAAATCAGTTTGCGTTTCACTATCATATATATACCACATAAAATATAGAAATCTGACACTTAAGTTTTAATAAATATCATCTTCGTGCCAACATTTAATCAAGACATTTTTATCTTGTAGCGTTGATATCGACAGTGGTTCAGATTACATTTGGTAGTAACGCCTTTGATTTTTTTTTCCATTCTATTAATCATTTTATTCAAATGATTGAATTTTACTTTATCCTATGTATGCATCATTCTCTCAAAACACTAAATCCTTGTTATTATTTTATCTTATAAAATGTGCCGGTTATTTTAGTTTATTGAGATATTTTTAATTTGTAAGAAATAAATTCAAACAAAAATCTTTTGTAAATTATCATTTTGTAATGAAGCCTAATTATAAAGTTATACAATAACAGAACGGAATTTTAAAGTTGATTACTTAGTTCTTATCAGTTTATGTTAATTTTATGTAGTAAATAATAATCATTTTGAAAATACAAAATTTCAGATGAAAAAATGATTGTCTTACTGTAATTCATTTTTATTTAAATGAATGAAAAAAGGTAGTTACTAATATAATTGACAGAACTATGTTGCTAAAAACATCCGATGTATTTGAAAAAGCAAATCAATTGATGTTCTACTTTTTAAAATGAACATATAAATTGTGGTTTGAATAAAATAGCAGAAACATTGAAAATAAACCACAACTGATAGAGAAAATAATAAAAAGGTAGATAGATATAAAAAAAGAAGATAGACTTCAATAAATTCAAGAAGTAGATTGGAATTATATAAATGGATAGAAAACATATTAGAGTAGAATATTGCCGCATGTAAAGTGGGTTTTTGTTATACGTAACAGTTTGAAATGCTGTTGTCTCTTTATAACAAATAACTTTTTTTCTTTAGTTAAAAAAACAAATTATATTCATGTAGGTATAACCAAATGCATATTTGTATTGAATAATAAAAGACCAACAAATATTATTTTGTGAACATCAGAATGTGTACACAAATGTTAAGCAGTGTTTTAGTGGTTGAAGGTTTTTGTACTTTTTTTGGTCTAGGAAGCTGGGGCAATATCACTAACCTTCAAACAGTGCGGTTCAAAGCTGATTACATGAACGTTTGTATGGTAAGTGGGATTATCAACATAAAATTAAGTTACAATGTGAACCAGTTTGATAGTATCACTGTTATGCTTACTTGGAAAGTATAAATTGTAAGATAAAAATACCGATTGTAATGCTTAAGACTGACAATCAAACTTTGAAAAGGACTAGACCATCATCACTATACCTGTTATCTCTACTCTTTGAGTTAGATTTATATCTTATGTTTGCTTTCATAATATTTGGTAGTAAGTTGGCAAATTCGTTTTAAATAACTGATGGACACTTTTAGTAAAATGTTGACTGCATGTTCCAGTTATAGAAATATCAATAGTTAATTGGTTAGAACATTTGACATTTAGTATGCTTGGATCACAAATATGAATCTAGCTCTGGAAATTTCGGTTTGGGTACGTCGCAAGATAGTCGCTGATGGCCAGAAAAGCTAAATATACACAAGCTTATACTAAGTTATCGACACGCATACAGTAAGTAATCATTATTTGCAGTAATAAAGGCATAACATTACAGTCTACTCATCAATTAACAATTTATTAATTTGATGATAATGATAGTCATCATCATTAAAATCTGACTACCAGAATTGACAACACGACTAAGAATCAGTAATATACATTATTCGAAGTAAAATATTTAAAGACAGGCAGAGAATTTTTTAACATGCTAATTAAGTGACTATATGGTTACTCATCTCAGTGCAAGAGGAAAGGCAGAAAAATTCAATGAAAATGGGCAAAGAATAAATGAATCGAACTTAATTACTAATCCATACTTTCTCAGCACAAATTGTTAAGATTAATAATAATGATAATAATAATAATTGAAATGAAAGAGAAGTCAGTATTAAATTTACATTTTGTTGGAAGGATAGTAGGTGATAAAAACAGGTATATGAAAAGGTACAATGCAGAATCCAATTATCTGTATGTTCGTGTCAACGAAATAAACAATCAATATCTCAACGATTATCAGTACACATGAGTAACTAATACTGACATACATAAGAAATTATTCATAAACAGGTAGGTATTAGGTATCATTTGGACAAATACAGGAGAAAGCATTCCATACGAAAGATGACATAAGTAGTAGAAGACGAAAAGTATCGATTTCCACCTCTCTGGCTCTCTCTAAGAAAGATAATTATTCTGAATAAAAGAACTATTGTAGTGAAGATTCAAGCGAGAACATACTAGGGGGATTCAATATACACTGGAATAATCAATACATATTATTAAGTGGTCAGTATAGATAGATTGACAGTTGATTAGTTTTTTTTATTAATGATGTAATAATGCTAAGCGATTCCCATCATTATAAATTGACAAAATCATTTGAGCAGATATATAAATCTCAGTGATTTCTCATTAAACAATTTACAAAAATAAAAATATTTATTCATCAAAGCATTCGAACCATCATGGTTAGTTGAATAATTATAGGCGTATATGAATTAAATGATACAGTGTGGTGATAACCAATATAACAAAGTCATGTAAGTTTTATTCAAATCTAGTTTAATAAAACTTTTGTAAAAGAATAATAGAATGAATGAATTATTAATAATATGAACAAGTATATATATATAACTAGTTAATCAGGTGTAAAATGATATATGTGGTGTATTTGCAATATCAGTTAGTTAATGTGACAATAATAACAAGAGAATTAGTTGGCACAAGAATTCATTGAATCAAATTATAACTAATTTTCAAAGGAAATTATACATTTTTAATTGATGGATTCAAAAATAACAATAATACTAAACCTAGATGATTTGTTTAATCGCATTGAAGGCACAAAAAATCAAAAATCACTTTTACTGTAAATGACTAAATTTAATCGTATCAGAGATTGCAGATAAATTAGTTGAATTTATTTTATGCTCATTTATACTATCATTCTTATTTTTAACGCTCTTGTTTTCAGTAACAACTAGAGAACCAAATTTTTCTTTTATATTATTGTTACTTTGTTCTAATTGAAGCGTTGAATTTGAGTGAAAACGATTCACATTTGTTGGTGGATCACATATATACCGATCACCAATCAAACGATATTTACATAAATTCATATGATAATCAGATGAAATAACAAATAATTGTACACCACTAGCTAAGGAGCCTTCACGATAGAATTGTAAACTAACAGGTTGTGGCTTTCCTGGACCATTTGTTAATGTGAATTTCGCTCGAACAGTACCAGTTGCATCAAATTTCGAAGTGAATTCCGATCGATGTGCATTATTACTAGTATTATCCCTTGATAAGTCACGATCAATATTAGCATTGTGAAGTGGGATACGCCATGTAGCATGATTAACTTCTGGGAGCCACGTACCAACTGGAAGACTTTGCATATGACTAACAGTTCCATCAATCATGAGATTTATTCGCAAATCTCCAGTATTTTTCACAGATCTAATAAGGAAATTATTATTGTTAATTAATTAAGATTATATCAAGTAAAATATCTGTAGACAGTATATAATTTTTGATTATAATGAATAGTACTGCAATAATAGTATTAGTATTTCAGGCGGATAACATCAATAAGTCAACATCTAATAAATTTTATATTGAATGATTATATTCCCATAAAAACAATAAATGTTTATACTTGATTTAATGAAATGCAATTTAGCCATGAACATGAAAACAGAATCACAATGAATCTGTTCATTCATAATATATTGCATGATTCAAACAAATTGAATTTATCGTAGAAACAAGTTAGTGAGTTATTATTGAAAATAAGTAAAGTGGGTGAGTATGCAAGTAAAACATTTTACAAGGAAGTACCTTGTTACATTTTTTTTCCAACTGGATATCCTTTCTGTTGGTGTAGAATAAAGTTCTGACTATTGAATGAACTGATTAGGCTAGAATTGGAACATCCTAATTAGTTCATTTTCAATCAATCAGCTCTGGTGAACGGACCGAGATGCTAAGAATTTATGTAAATCTTATATAAACTCCAATATTCTTACTACTGTATGTTCAACACTCGAGTTGTTGGAACAAGTGGTGTTCGTCTCTAGTTATTTTTCGAATCCGGAGAGTGTTTAGTATAGTAACGAAGTCAGGATACACTAGACAGTAGAATGACACATTACATTTGACCAAAAACTATATGGAATTAAGTTTTATCTCACTGGCCTAGTTCTGTCTACAGTTAGGAATTACTACTAATTTTGGAATTTTCGGGTTGTAATATATATGTTTATGAAAAGACCTGCCATCAATAAAATTTCGAAAACGATAAGTCTCTGACAAAGTTATGATTTTAGATAATCTGAGGGCTAACTTAAGGAATAGGAAGAGCTTTTTCTGGACGTGAAAAAAAATTAATTGTTGTTGGATTTTAAATGTTCTCTGTGAGATAGTCTGCATCCAGATTATTTTGGAGGTTAGTACTTTGATTGTTTATTGTTAGGGGTTGTTAGGCGCATAAAATTCGATTTTGATGCTCGACATTTTGAAAAGAAATTGAACTTTTGATTTGGTCTGCCAAATTTTCACAAAAGACTTCTTTCACTTTTGATGTGGCCATGAAACCAGTATCTTCACTTTTTTAAATATAATAACCTTTTGGACTTTATTCAAAGACATTGTACACATATTTATCTTCTTTAGTGTTTTCAATAAATCTTACAAATAAGATTTGATTTTCGGATTAGCTTGAGTTGAAAACAGAAAGCAGAATGGTCAGTCTTCATCAATGAAGGTCAGTTAACCAGTTACAAAGTAGGACCAGGCACATACAAGCATCGGTCCAAGTTGCCACACCTCATCACTGAAGGAACAAAAGTCAGAAATAACTCAGCGTATAATTAGCGGGATCAATTATGTGTAAAACAAACCATCAAAAATATCATTGAATTACGCAAAAACAATAAAAAAGAACGTACTCCTTAGCAGCATTTGGTGTAGGCCATTGTGCTGTATAATCCAAACGAAAATCTGTGGTTAATGCTTCACAACGCCAGTAAGTACATAAATGTATTGGAGGTGTAAGACTAGAATAGTAACCTTTAACATCGGCATTTACATCAACTGTATAAGTTAATACATCTAATTTAACATATGTAGGTGCATTAGAAGATGTAAAAGAAGAATTTAATTTATCAGATGTATCACTACAAGAAAATGAGTTTTCATCTGAATAAGCAATTATCAATGAAGCAAGATAACGTGAAAGAACATCACCAGGAATAGTAAGCATATAATCTGAACTAATATTATTACCACTATTGATTATTTGTGTTGCATTGTTATCTGTCAAATCTTCGAGTAAAATTGGTTGAGGTGTATTAGTAGTAGGAGTTGTACTTTCAGAAAATAAACTAACAGAAAAACAAAAACATACCAATGAAATTATGTAACTGAATTAAAAATACAAAAAAGGATCTTGATATGATACTTGAGGAATAAATGAATACATCAATTAACTGATAGGTAGTAATATTACTCTTAATGACACTTAATATCTCTTAAATGATTTGTACTAATTAATCTAATAATCTTGAACTATAAACATTTGTCTTATGGTAATTAAATCCAAATCCATAACCAATTTGCTCGAGACACTTTATTAATTTAACTATTAGCTACTAACTAATTGAAATATATTAACAGTAATTGGATTGTAGGTAACTATAGACAAAAATTGGGAAATAAAAAGCTTAGTAAAATCTCCTACATTATGCGTGTTATTGAAGCATTATTATCAAATATCCAGTAAATACATTGAAGGTAATTATTATCATAAAATGGTGGGATCAAGCGAATAATCATTAAGAGTCAAGAAAGGCTTTTTCATCCTAATTCAGAGCTCTTTGGTAATGTAAATCAAAAATCCGACGCGCAATTAGACTGAAAACCATGACATTTTGATTCTCGCTAGTTTATCAGCTGATATGAGTAGCTAGTGATGAAAGTTATTTTCAAAATAGTGTGGTGAATCGGAACACAGATGGGGAAAACCAATTAGAGTGCCTTCGTAAAGTATGAAAACTATAAATTAAATACATCATTTGCACGTCTTCCATCAGTTGTCCTTTACATACTTCATGATTCTTTCGATTCTGTTCTTCCTCTGATTGCTCTCTGTCCTTCTTCCCGTTCCTTTCAATTCAATCTTCCTTTGTCGGGCATTCCACCTCCGATTGATGCTAAGTACTACTGATATCTGTCAGTGTAAGTAGCATGCACCGCAATAGTATTTTCAGATCACAAACCACCTTAGTAAATCTATTAAACGAAAAACTGGAATTAAGGAAGCTCTTCAAAGACGCTTCGAAGACAAAAAGTAGTTAGATTAGACATTGCATTTTACTGTTTTATCACAACAATCTATTCATTAATAAACAAGTTTACATGCTTCATCAGTTGCAAGTTAACTGAGAAAATTAAGCCTCATAAAGAGCTCGGAAAATAGAAACATAATAATTGTAATATTTCAAAATAATCTTAAATAAATGAGTAATATGATTTACCTGATTGATGAGCCAGAAAGTTTAGGTTGTAGATCTTTTAATCTTTCGGCATTTGTAATTCTAAACACAAGAGGGGGAATAAGTGATTTATTGAATAGTCTTTGTTCCATATCCGCACGTGGAAATGCAAGTGTTAAACTACCATAAATTGCTTGAATAGGAGGTTGACCAGTAGAGGCTGCGGTTGAAAAAGAGCTGCCACCACCATTAAAAAACCGGGCATGCCAAGTCTCTGTAAATGCAGCAGCTAAGCAAATTGAATTATTTGGCAAATTAACTGAATGGGTAGAAGGAGAAGGTGTAATACTTGGTTCAATAGTAGAACTATTATTCGGATGATTATGAAGGCGTGTTGGAGGTTCAGGAATAGGTCGAGCTTCTTTACCAACTACAGTACCATGTATATTAGCGTTAGAAGATGGCCAAGGTACACAAGTACTGAAGGATTTGCTTGTTTCAGTTGAATTTGTTTCAAACGCCATCTACGATTGTGAAATTCAAGTGTGGGTTATAGGGTTATTAACGTGTATCTTTAGATTTCGAATGTACAACCTTTACTCATTAAAATACATTTGTTGCAGTGGTCAGTCAGTCAGTAACAACGTAGAACTTCGTACGTACGTACATCAGTTCGAGTTGCCACACCACATTAGCACAGAGATGCAGTTGTCGACTCAAATTCCATAGTGGTAAAGGTAGTAAGAGTATAAGCAGTAATCGGAAACATTAGGGCTTGGAGATGTTATTCAAGGAATATAATACAGTGAAATAAGTTTGGAAAGAAAATAAGGGACATGAAGAATTCGGATTAGAATTTGGGAGAACACAAAGAGTGGATGCACTTGCGCCATTTCAAACGATTTTGAGCCATGTCATTCAGGGTCTCTAACCATCGGTTGCTGTCATCTCGCGGTCCCCAACCAGGTAGTCTACACCTACCAACATGACTCAGTTCACTTGTCAGTGACTTCATGGACTTGTGCCATGTTTTGGTTTGGCCGCCCCTAGCTTTCTTCCAACCTACTCCTATACCACTGAACATAGCACGTCGAGGCAGTCGGTTTTACTTCGTCTAATGTTATAACGTTGGGTTTCCACTTTCACAAGTATGGGACGTTAATTTACCTTAGACGAATATCTACACTCGATTCCCTCCCAGTGTCTATTCTACAGGACTTCAACACAACTCAGATCAAGAACACGTGATTAGCCTGATCACAACGTAAATATATTTCCACACCAAAAACCGACACAATCCAACAACAATGAACAATCAATAATAAGTCCGTCCTAATAATAATAAGGATAAGAGAATATATAATTCATCTGACACCTGTCTGACTGTCTATATGTCTGACTAAGCAGACAACCAATCATTCTCATTCTCACCCACACATCAAAGATGTTGAATTTTTAAAACTTCAGATAGATTTCTCAATACACAAGTATACAGTCTAAGTAAAGTTATCCTAAATTAGTTTGAATTCTCAGATTGTATTTGGTAAATACTTTCCATCTCACGAATTTGGCAAAAAAGAATTACTTATTGGAAAACGTGCTTTTTAGATGTATATAACACATTTTTGAATATTGTTAACTAGAGCTAAACACACGTTTGGTCGACCTTAATTAGGTGAATAGATTCTGATGGACAAATTCACCAAGTATGATCGATTCTATCAATGCGAAACAATTTCTTCACATCAAAAGGCTATTTCACATTCTGAAAAGGTCGAGCGAACGTTTGCTAAGGACGTTAAATCATGTACCTACTGACGCCTGGATCCCGGTCAAATGAAAGTTGTTTGATTGTAATACACAATTGGATGGATATTTACAATAACTACTAGATTATAAGACATCAAATTACAGATGATAAAACTATCTAAGTACTCAGACATTAGTGGGTAAGTGAAGCTCCAACTTATGAACAACCAACTAGCCTAAAACACTGGAAGTACCAATGTTGATTTGATAAACTTCATATACCTTTGACTGAAGCGCTTACTCCACACAAAAAGAGCTGTCTCCTTTCATGTATAATCTCCACGATGAATCCTTGATATTTCTCTTAACTTATCCCATAACTTTGGATTTGTTGAGTTACTGCTAGAGTATTTAGTGGACAGAGCATAAAAAGTTAATAAGTTTGAAATTAGGCATACAGCGAGGAAAAACTAATGATTAAATTAAAATGAGAACAGCTGAGTGATTATAAATGATGAACAATAAAGTAAATAATCTAAGCAAATAATGTACACATACCCAATTAGACTGATCAAATGATTCATTATCTGTTGAAGTAGGTGCTGTACTAGAACATCGTCGAACTAAGCTACCACCACCATCATCGTTCTTTACAGGTGATAGATTAACACCCATTACAGATGATGAACTTCTTTGTAAAGTATCTACTAAACTATTACAACTAACAGAATCTTTAAAACCAAACTTAAAATCTGAAGAGTAGTCCTTCTGAATAGAATCTTTAGTATTATTTGAAGGAATATCTTTTGTATTGGTTTCTTGTACTGTGAATAGGGCATCAAAAGACGACAAATTGAAAGTTGTACTGTTAGTTTCATCTTTTGATTCCAATGATCTTGCAGAATTTACTTGACTTGAATTTCCTTCTAAAATTAAAATAAACCACAGATAAACCAAAATATAAAAAAGATTATCTCTAATAATATGTAGGTACATTTATTTTCCAAAAAAAGTATTTAAAAGTCTGTACAAACGTAAAGTTAAATCATTTAATGATAAATAAATTTTATTAAACAAATGTACATACAAAAATAATTTGATGAATGTGAGTTGTAAGTGGTTATCAAACTAAGACTTCTTTATCGACAGTAATCGACTTTTATCAGTTCAGTGAAAATGTACTTCATTTCAAAGTATATAATTAGATATATACGGGCGACTTACTGAAATATTTATAATCAGTAGTGTAGTGAATGAAAAATCAGGTACAATAAACCATTTACTGTTTTACGCAAAATCAAACAGTAGATTTGTAAAATGTTAAAATCATGCATTAAATGCATCATTCGCATATCTTTCTTCAGTTGTCCTTTACATAATTCATCATTATTTCGATCCCATCACTATATATATTATGAAACATAATGTGACACTATTAGTATACAATTTTTTCATTTCAAATAAGTTCAATCCATGAATTATCATAGGTCCATATTCATGAGATTAACAACAACAAACAAGGAAAATTAATAAGCAAACATTTTAATTACCTATTGTAACAGTAATTAGAATATGCAAGTATCAAAAAAATACAGACTAACTCAATTTCGAATTATATAGGCTTATAATGACGATAGTGGATGAATTATATAAGCTATATTAGGTCATGATAATACTACCACATTATACACGTACACACATACATAAATACGTACGCGCACACATAAACTATACACATTCATATAAAACATAAGATGACATTTAATACCAGCAGCAAATGAGCAAAGAAAACAGTTTATACTAAATGTGCCTGAAGCAGTGCGGAAACCTAGCGTTGATATGAAATGCAACATATATAAGAATGATTATCATCATCATTATTTTACGGTGCAGTTTATAATGATGATTACAAAGACATGAAGTTCTGTGATACCTCATTTCAAATAGACTCATCGATTGATAAAATTTACACATACTAATTTGAGAAGTGACAAAAGCTCCGTGTAAAATACTTTTATTTGTGTAAACTTTACTGCGATATCTTCGTGGAAGAGTGGATAATCTGCCTAGATAACATAATAAATGATTATGGTGATGGAATATAAATATATGTGCGTGACAGTAAACAGAGAAATTTAAGCTTAAAGAGTTCGGAGTGATAAATATACGACACAGTGCTGCAAACTCTATCTACAATGTAAGTTACTGACTTTGAGTCTTGCAGTCATATATATATATATATATATATATATATATATATATATATATATATATATCCTACTTCACAACATGTGAAATTTACAACATATTTCAATGTGGAATTTACCAACAATATTTGATTGTCTAGATCTCAACAAAATAGATATTCTGGACACTATTTACATAGTTCAATGTATACGGAGTTGTTTATACGAATGAGTGAAACAGAAAGTGCTGGCAAATATTTCGTTTATATAATCTGAATCCAAAAATTTATTTTGATGTCACCACCAGAAGCTTATTGTGGTCCGGTCAAAGTATGAGAAAGAGACAATCAGGTACCAAAATGATGTTTTAAGGTCACAAAGCATAATCTGAATAAGCAAGCTGATCATAATTCGTGTACTTGTTAATTCTCATAAAAATGTAACAATAATGTACTTAATAGGAAAGAGACATCGTGAGACCATTTTGCGTGATTCCAGTGAGGAAATGAAGCTAGTTAGAGTTAGTCTATAAAAACAATTGAAACGCATCTCTCGCCAACATAAAGAAACCCGTGGGAGACTGTATTCTAGCATATTTATGTAGCGGTTTCTTTGACTTCGAATCTGAGAAACTGATAATAGCTTTGAACGATCCATAAGTTATATTAAAGTACAAATACACTTTAATTTTTCTTTTTCTATCATTGTTTTCATTAGAAACCAATCATTTTTATAACCTGTCTTCTGGTTGGCTAGATTATAATTCAACATTCTCAGGGTAATCTAAGAACCGCTCTAACTCCTTCACATACATTAAGTCATATCCTTATGTCATACTATTCAGTACAAGTTCTACATTAATCAAAACTACTTCTTTGAAAGTGATCACAAAATAACTCGCTTAGAGTCCCAAGCTCATGTTGGATATAGGGTTAGCAACTCTATTCTGTGAAAAAGAACATTTTTGGAAAGATGCAAATAAAAAAAATGATTTAGACCATCTAAAATCTATCCAGGGAGTTGAAGGATCTTTATATAGAAGAGTTGTGATACCTCAAGGTGAGTTGAGGTTCTTTGGGAGTTACGAAAGCGAAGCCCTTCCTGACGACCAGAGCAACGAATAATATATGTACATGGAATGTTCTGACGAAATAAGATACTGGAGGATAGAAGATACAACTTCGCTCTGCTTGGAATAAGTAAAACCTATTGGACAAAAGCTGGACAGAAACGACTAGATTCGGTGAAGATTCTGTTTCATTTTGGTCATTAAGAAGACAATGACCCCCACCACATACACACACAAGGAGATGTACAGATACTCACTAGAGAAGCCCGGAAAACGGTCATAGAGTGGGAAATTCACACCTCCAGGATCATCAAAGGATCCTTCAAAACATATTAGGTAGGTTTTACATTAATTGTCATCCAGTGCTACGTGCTCAGTAATGATAACAGCAGAGAGGATAAAGATCAGTTTTATGAGAGGCTGTAGTTCATCGTAGTGAACTTCCTAAGAAAAGACTTAATTGAGGTCTATGGAAAACGTAAGAACAAAGAAATAAGACGATAGAGCTTCAGTCCACCACCTGGTGGATGTCAAGCTGAAACTGAATTTAAGAAAGCATTACACAATTGAGCAAGTAGCGCTATGAAGGCTTAATACAGCTTCCCACAGAGATGTTGACAAACTTAGTCAATATGCGGTAGCTTTCAACAATAAGTTCTAAGCCTTACAAGACCTACTCAGAGAAGAGGAAACCACTATGAAGGATAAGTGGAAAGAAATTAAAGAACCAATTGCTTCAACATGCTAGGTGGTGCTGGGCTCCAAGAAGCACTAACATTAAGAGTGGATTTCTAGTGAAACCTTAAGCAAGATTCAAGATTAGAAAAACAACAGGACAGCAGACAAAAAAGTCGAAAGAGAGGAGAAAAATTCAGAGCAAATACCGAATAGAGAGTATTAAACAAACGAGTGGAGAAAAATGTCAGGACAGACAAGCGGAAATGTGTCGAAGATCTGGCAACAACAGTAAAACAAACTGTAAGAGAAGGGAATATGTGAGAAATATATGACAACAAGGAGGCTAGCACGCAAACATAATAAACCAGAGCAATCAATCAAAAAAGAAGAGAAAACAATCACTGAGGTCCAAGAGCAACAAAACGAGTGTATATACCACACTTAAATCATTGATAAGCAAGGGGGATCTGACGCATATGTGAAGGGATGGGTTGGGAAAGCAAGGGTAATATCCCTACAGTTGGAGAATATCTTGAACGCAAAAGAACTGTCAGCCAACACAAGATAGAACTTTCAATACAAACGTTAAGGTTTTATGATATGGATCTGGAGCAACCATCATCGAAAATGTACAGGTATCTGTAAACAAATGTTTATGCAAGATATTCCAGATCTGTTGACCAAATGCCGTCAACAACAAATTTCTATAGCACTAAACAAACCAGCATCAAGCTAACGAGAAAATTAGGAGAATATACTGAAATTCAATAGACCATACTTAACGGATATTATCAAACTGCATCACGAAGCAAGCCCTAACTTGGAATGCTCAGGCCAAAAGGAAAAAAAGCAGACAAAGAAACACATACAGTCGGGAATCAGAGACAGGCATTTAAGGCAACAACTGGAAAAGAATCCAACAAAGAATCAGTTGGAGATCCCTGATCGCCAGTCTATGCCCCAAGAGTGGTAACAGACTTAAGTAAGTAATCATGACAGCCTGGTGTTTTTTAATTTAACCGAACATTAATATAAAGCAGTATATTAGTTGTGATTACTAGACTTCTAAATCAGTAAGACAGTAGATTACTGAGGATAAAAATTACGAATGATTCCAAAAGAATTCGAATTATGATTAATCAAGGTGTTATGATCAAGTTTCATATTTTACTCCAAGATGCATCAACAATATGTGGACATTACTTGTCGTGCGATAAAAGCCATGAGAAACGTTTTTCAGTGATCCCATTAGCCTTAAAACTATTCGATTCACATCCAGCAAATGGGATTCCTAAGACATTGATTGCAAATTCTTTTAGTAACATGTGTATTAATGCCAGTCCAATATCCTACTTGAAATCAAAACAGCTGTGACCAGTAGAAACCGTCAGTCTGTGCTAACGATGAATTTCAAGTCACTCACTTGGAAAAATTCACTGAGAATATAATCATCTTAAAACCTTATCGTTTACACTGTCAGGATGAAAAAACAATGTCCACAAAATAGTGCAGGAAATCTTATTAAAATTTTCTTTCATTATTCATAATATACAGTGAAGATCGTTAATCAAATAAAGTGGTTTTGAGACAAACGCACTCAATAGTGTCTGGATTGATTCCCATCCCCTGAAAAGGATCATGAGTGTGTACTATTATTAATGGGTTTTGGAATTTGAAAATGACATTTGTAAACAGCTAGTACCTATTCTACTGATATATTTATTCCCTATGTCTTATTAACCAAATACAGGCTTATATACGCAGATTGAGCTATAGTTCATTGTACATGGTAGGTAGTGATATCACCTAGCTACCACTGCTCCGGATATATATATATATATATATATATATATATATATATATATATATATATATAGCACTAGTAATTGCTCATAACTAGAATATTTTTGATACAAAGCTTATTAACATATTTTTGTACACAGTTAGAACTACATAAAAATAAAACAAAACAACTGTTTAATGAATATTTATTAGAAATACATAAACACATACGCCAAGTAATAGCTACCTAAGTTTCATATTTTCCTGTTTTCTATCTTCGTAACAACAATATTATCATGGTAGGTGTGCGTAAACACTATCGTCAAAATGAATCTAAGAAAAATCGCCAACAATCGACTTATTTAGAAATAAAAAAGCAATTACTTTTAGTCCATGTATTGCAACTGTATCCACGTGGACGTATCGCTGATATTGAATGACCCTTACTGAGTGTATTAAACGATGACAAACCGACATTCCGAGCACGCATTGAACCACCAGCACCGATAGCAGCAAAAGATTCAGTGGTAGATGATGACAATGATGACAATGGCGGTTGAGGAGGTGGCGGTAACAATGGTGGGAGAGGTAACGCATTAATCAAATCATGATTTGATACGCCATCCGATCCTGCAGTGATAGGAATATTTTGATATGAAGATATGCTTGAACGTGGTGATCGAAGTGTTGATCCGATACGATGATCAATAAGTAAAGGGACTTGTGAATTCCCAGTGCTTTTAGGACTTCTTATTGTTTCTAAAGGCTTTGGACGAGATTCCAATTTATCCCCATTATATTTAAGCGCTACTCCTGGAGCAAACTCTCCAACTGGACGGATATTAACCTAGATGAAAGGTAAGATATAATCGACGTTTCGCATTGTTAAATGCATACATAAATACATGAATGAGTTTTTTTTAATAACATTTTCAAGACCTATAGTTATTAGATGGCGAAAATTATCCTTGAAAATAGCCGCAAAAGTGAATTAAACTCCCAGAATACTTTTCAGCCAATAAGCATCAGTAGCGAATTACAGAAATTTATGCACCAATATTTACTCCTGATCTGATCAGTCGGATTGACAAGTCATTTTCAACGTTTGCACTTGCTTTCAATACATTTCTAGGAATATGAAATAGTTTTTTTCAAGCAAATAGATAATCTTTGGTTTGTGCACCTAAATTTACCTTGACATGAAGCAAATTTAAAAGTTGAACAAGGAGTAGTGGTCGAGAGCGTTCGGTCGCAGGACATACCATTTATGAAGAAAGTGGCCTCGAACGAGCATTGATAATGATGGGATATCAATTGTAAAACATGGATCTGAACTTATAGGAGCAAGTTACATATTGTTTGAACAAAGAACTGATCAACTGTAGTAATCTATCTTCCAGAAACACATTAGAGTTGTTGTGGTATATGATGTAAACATTCGCCAGATGAAACACTCTTCTAACCCATGTATCGTAAGTTCTCAAAGAACAATGACATTAGCAACTTCTTCAATTTGTAGATTTACTATTGATCATTTCAATGAAACCATACTAACGGTTTCAAAATTTGTTAGCACTTTTTGTGTTTTTAATGAAGGCTTAACTGAGTGGTTGTGTTAGAAAGTTTAATTTACACTTAGTTTTAAAAAGAGGATCTTTTCAATGCCAACTATGTGGATGATGCTGACGCTGGAGTATAATGCATTTGCAAGGTTTAACTGTGTGGCGCATATATATTGGCGCTCTCTTGTACCAATATTCATGTGTTCAAATAAATAAATAAAGAGTTTAACTAGTGGCGTTATTATCACGACAGATTTAAATATTATTTTGATAGAAAATAATCAACGCAGCTAATTATTTTAATTCTCAAAAACTATTGTCACAGTATTTCATCACTGGTAAGTGCAATATCTCATGATGACCAATAAAATAAAATTAGTCAATTCGAGAGGCTTAGGAGTAGTCTCTGACTGTGGTTTGAGTGACATGGGTTCGAATCCCACAGAGCACATCAGTTCCATCAAAACACCATGTATACCCTATTGACGCATGATAACTGGAGCAAAATCTTGATCAGGGATTTGCTGTCAAATTCCTATGACCACCTAATGTCGAAACAAAGTGTGCCATAACGTTGAATTATTTGGTATACTGATCGTATTGTAACAATCTACATAATTTGATTATCATTCAAACCTAACATGATACTGATTAATACTAAAAGATCGGTTGGTGTAAACAGAACAATCCGACTAAGCATCAGTCGAAGTCCTATTATGTGAGTGATAACGTTTTAGGCTATTACAAGAGGTTACTACCAAATAATCAATTGTGTAACTGTCACATCTACGTGTTAAAATAAACGGGAACACATCTTTACGTAGTTTCATAAAATAGAAAACGTCAGAACAAACAACAAATCTATATCATCTCATCTGATATCTAGAATTCATATTTAATGTAATCAAGCTGAATTGGAGGTATGTACATATAGGGAAACGATTTCCTGTACCAAGCTTTTGTTGCTAAACTCAAAATTTAACAATTACAAGGTTTAGTAAAGACTTTTCAATAAAAAGTTGATCGAACGCGCAAATCCATCGTATGTAAAGTTACGTTTTCAGTCAGTCAGTCACAACATGAAACATGGTACGTATGTACATCGGTTAAAGTTTCCGTACCGATTAGCACAGAGAATGAAGTTGTTAAGCCAAATCCCAGAATGGAGGAGATAGTAACGGTATCAGTAATAGTAGGAAAAATTAGGCTTGAAGATACGATTCGAGAAGAAAATAAAAACTAGTGAAATAAAAACAACAAAAGTTACGGGGAATTTAGAATCTCAGAGTTTGAGGATACATACCCGCCATTAAAAACGAGTATGAGTCATGTCATTAAAAGTTCCTAACCATTGGTTGTGATAACCACGCGAACCCCAACCAGATAGTCTATACCTATTTATATGGATAAGTCTAAGTGTCAGTGACCTCATGGACTGGCGCTATATATTGTTTTCGTCGCCCCTAACTTTCTTCCATCCAACTTCTGCACTCGAAAACACAAAAACATTTTGAGTCATAAGCTGTTAGTATTATTCAAATAAACAAAATCATACAGAAGTACTAAATGCGTCCCACATTATTAAGAGTCTCAATCGAAAGTATTAATCTTCACTGCTGGATTGAATTTTATACAATCAGTTTAAAAAGATCACTATCCTATTGTTTCAGTCCACACAACATTTTAGTGTACTCGAAATATCCTAAGTCAACCAAGTTGCACAGAGATGATTTGTTCACCTGAGATTCTAGTTATCTGAGATTAGATGGTGGTTGGAGGTAGTCAACAGGAAACCCTGGACCCGGGTTTCGTGCTACTTGGCACTCGTCAGCAAGGTGTACCTGTAATCTTGAGGGAACTGGTGCTCCCTGGCGGATTCGATCTCGTGTCTCTGACTGTGAAGCTGGGTGACACGAGATCGAATCCGCCAGGGAGCACCAGTTCCCTCAAGATTACAGGTACACCTTGCTGACGAGTGCCAAGTAGCACGAAACCCGGGTCCAGGGTTTCCTGTTGACTACCTCCAACCACCATCTAATCTCAATACATAGTGCCCGCAGTGTCGAGTCACCTAGACTGGTGGCCACATTGCAACATGATCGATAGCATTCGATCTGCACTAATAAGGACTAGACAAGCATGAGATTGATCACCACCCAGTGATCAATCAATTGTGATTCTAGTTATCTAGATTGATCTTCACAGTGAATCAATGTATCATATCGAAACTTTCAAATACAGTACAACAAGAAATGAACTTAAACCGTGACACCCTATTATACAACTCTAAGGAAAGATAAATACCTACTTTTAGGCCATGAAATGTTTTGTTCGCTTTGTTTTCTAGGTCTTCTTCGGAACCTGAGTCATCAGCCTCAGAATGATTGAAATTTGAAGAGTTTTCACCCCATGGATCGGGTGGTCTAATGTTATAACCGTCTTCGTCTTTCGGTAATTCTACGGGTGTAGTAGTCCGCCAATCATCACTTTTTGAAGTAATGGTATCTGCAAAAATAAGTAACTGACACTGAAGATATCATTCGAAGAATATAGCAAAAGTATCGTAAAGATTAAAATAAAGACAAACTGAGATACTTTATGTGTCACTGATTTAATTAGGTTCACTTATCGTTTCTTCGATTTCACTAACCATCAATCAGAAACACTTTATTGTATGAGTAATCTCAATTTATCATACCCATGATCAGAACTTTGCCAATATCTACAACAGTCCGAAAAAGTTTTTTTTTTCGTCTAATTTAAGAAAAAATAGCTAAATAAAGAGTAAATGTATTTGATAGAGAATATAAATAGCCAGTGGTAATAAGTTAAGTTTTATTGGGAATAGAATATTATGTGCTGGTAGATCAAAAATTAATTACAGAGTAGCCAATATTTCACTAAATATACATGCAAGTGATCACTGAGTGCTAATATCTGACACCGTTACATTCTTTTGTTTAATATATCTTGACAAATACTCTTCACTCTACTCGAAAACAAATAAAACGAGAACGAGTTGGCACAAGATAAATTCTAATGAACTCGAATAACAGAAGGTAAAGTAATAGAAACATATGTTTTTGCAAAATTTACTCAAGGTATCAGTATCGTGATTCATCTTAAGGGGCTGACTGGTTGGAGGTAACCCAATCAGTATACTCAGACTTAAGGATGCATTAGCCGTGTAACCGTGCCTTTGTGGTGTTGTATCCCGGGAAAAATTGGTACAGATTTGTGAAGACTTGAGAATTCCGAATTGATATTGCGTATCCTATCCCCAAACGGACCCGTGAAATTTCACGAATTTAAACACTGACCGATAAGTGACCAACACGGCATTAACGCCTATTAGTCCTCGAGTCCCTTTCTGACTCAGTGGTCGATCAGAAGACGATGATAGGAGGCGAATTAGTTCTTTATTGTATTCAATTTGATAATGACTAGAAAACTGATGCAATAATGTACTGCAAACGCCATAAAAGAAAGCAAACATCAAGCGCGATAGTAACATAGGTGGTAGAGTGCTGAGCAGACAGTACATAAGCAATTAGCAATAATTAAGGAATATTAAAAGCACAACAATAATCAATAGGTCCAATGGAAGCTTACGATAAAGAAGGTATAGAAATGTAACAATAAAGTTATCTACAAAATGCAATGAAGATACAAATAATAATAGTCCGAAAAACAGCAAAGGAAGCCTCAATTTTCTGTATATTTGTCCTGTGGCTAATGGGTTTGACTTTCAGCCACTAGGTCACAGGTTGAAATCCTGCTACACCTAATTCGGTTTGGAGAACTGAGCAGTATAATTAAACCCCATACCTAGACTGAGTCTCGTACCCAAGCACTTAGCGAATAAGTCAATTTAGATTTGAGTACAATCATCAGGATCATATACTTCAAACACCTCTGATATTTGTCAAATACTAAGATGTTTACTAAAAATGAAATTTTACGTTCAGAGGCTAATTGCAACACAAAATTCAATTTAGAGACTCCACTTAACACATAAGCTATTTATTAAAAAGCGAAGCTTTGCTAAACATCAATAGAAACTACTTAAATTCTGTATTGCCAAGCAAATCTACCTGACTTGTCCATTTGCTTTATTGGTTTATCTTTACCATTCGAATAAGGAGTGCCTAGTCGGCGAATCCCACGTTTGGCAACGACGGTGAAAGCACTGAGACTAATACTACCACTAGCTTGAATATTGGTGTTTGTACCAATGGCCGCACCGACTGAGGTGGACGATCCTGATGCATTATTGTCACCGACAGCAGGAGCAGGATCCTGTGACAAGGAATTACGGCGTCGACGAAAAAATCCTTCTCGGCGTCTTGCAGTTCCACTGCCAGAAATTGATACATTTGTTACCGACGGCACAACACCTACGGAAATGCTAGTCACAGAGATTGCATCTGATCTAACATCTGTCAAGCTGTTGAGACTTGATTCACCATTATCTTTGGTACCAGAACCTACAACTACACGGAAAAATGTTTCAATTAAAGATAGCACAAAACCACATATTGTGAAAACACCATACACTCTAACACAAAAACGTAGTCAGTCATATAAGTATCGATGCCAAGGTTGGACTTGATAGTTTCATATAAACTGAGCATTTAGTAGAACTTACTTACGCCTGTTGCCCCTCCCCGTACAGAAGCATAGGCCGCTCACCAGCATCCTCCATCAAACGTTTCCCTGAAAAATCCTTTTTCGACCTTCCTTTATTCTATTTCCTTTCAGCATTGCAAGTTAGGGTCTGCTTCGTGATACAGTCTAATGATTTCTGTAATGCATGTTCTATCCACTTCCAGCGTCTTTTCCCAATTTCCTCTTCAACTGAAAGCTGGTTTGTTCCCTCCCAGAGAAGGCTGTTGCTGATGGTATCCGGCCAATGGATGTTGAATATCTTGTATAAAACACTATTTATAAATACTCGTACCTTCTTGATGATGGTTGTAGTAGTTCTCCAAGTTTCAGCTCCGTACAGTAGAACTGTCTTGACGTCCATATTGAAGATTCTCACTTTGATATTGGTTGAAAGTTGTATTGAGTTCCATATGTTCTTCAATTGCAGGAATGAGGCCCTTGCTTTGCCAAACCTCGCTTTTACATCTGCATCTGATCCTCCTTGTTCATCGATGATGCTGTCCAGCTACGTGAAACTTTCCACACCTCTCACAGTTTCTCCATCAAGTGTGATTGGGTTCGTGTTCTCCTTGTTGTATTTGAGGACCTTGTTTTTTCCCTTGTGTATGTTGAGGCCTACTGATGCTAAGGATGCTGCTACACTAGTTGTCCTCCCCTGAATTTGTCCGTGTGTGTGGGATAGAAGGGTCAGGTCATCTGCGAAGTCCGAATCGTCTAGTTGCATGTAAGCCGTCCATTGTATTCCGTTCTTCTCCTCAGATGTGAAGATCTTCATAATCCAGTCGACCATCAGAATAAAGAGTTAGAGAGAGAATAAGCGGCCTCGTCTGACCACATTTTTAACTAGGAATGCGTCTGTCAACTGTCCATTGGGTAGAAAGCTAATAATAAATATATTTTTGTTATATCCCAATGGGTAGAGAAGTTGTATTTTTAACTTTTCGTGACTTAATGTAAGCCATTTCTTTAGAGTAAATAAATAATCGAATAGTTGATTATGATCACAAACAACAGACATTGGCTAAAAATCATGTTGTATTGAGCTAACAAATTTTACAAGTTCAGATTTAAAAAGAGTATTAACTTCTATACTAGTGAAGTGAAATGGTGAGAACTAAACAAATAATAAAAATAGACGTCGTACAACCTGGTTAGTCACAATTATTGAGGATGACCAACACAAATAAACTGTTCATGACAAGAAAGATAAAATTATTTAGGCATCTGTACCACATTGAGTAACTGTTTTATCTAAATAATTGAAATTTAACTAATAACTTATAGCTAATTATTTTTTATTTTCATTTTCATTTTAAACATTTTACTGCTTTATACAGATCCGTTATATGTACAATAATTTACTTCAGGAGAGATCATTCAGAACATTTATGTTGATCACAATTTTTAATTGTGGGTAGCATTAAGGACGGGTTTCTATACCTTCAATTTCAGTCCTTGGAAGTAATTTTCTGAAATATTTCAAACTAGAAGCGCAAACGTTCACAAAATGGATTCGTTTTAATTTATCATACGCTTTGATTTGCAAAGCAAACAAATGAGTATTGTGTCTAATAAGCATAAACATAAGTTTTTATCTAACCATAACATTAAAACTTTTTGAGCAGAATATTTTGATTTCTTAGACAAGCTTCATGCTGTAAATTACTTGCAAGTGCAGAGGCAGCTCTAGCTTCGCGAGCGAAAAATGCCTCTAGAACACGAACACCATTGGTTGTTATTCCGTTGGCACGTTCAGTTGCATTTGATGAAAACGCGGCAGCAACCTCTGCATCTTCAAATTGCACACCTTGTGGTTCCAAAGTCCCAGTGCCTCTTTCGGTTACAAGAATATTCAATAATCTGTCTGTAGTCAACTCAGTTAAATCACGATCAAACTGACTGTGTAATTTGCCCAAAGCATCACCCGTGATGGACCAGACAGATGCATACCGATGCAGAAATTCTTTCATCTGTTCCAGATGCGCAACTTCGATTTCCTTTTATAAGACAAAAGTAAAGGAACGATGATGGGAATTAGAGTTATTTGAGTCAAAGGTTGGAAAATAAACAGGTCAAACAGTGAACACAGTATAAGATATCATTTTAAAATTCAAAACAGAACGTTAGTCAAAATGCCACTTCTCTAACTATACCACAAGCTATTATCACCATAAACTTAGTTGTCTGCATTGTGCGCACATCAGAGTTACTTGACTTAAAATACTTAATCTGATTAAAAAGTTGTCCTTAAAATATCCAGGACACGTTTTTCACAAGCCGGCAATTCCTCTCAATTAAGATAGCATCATTAATAAAGAAAAGGATATTAAAGAAATGAGTTAAATAAGGGGCATTCACATGAACCACTAACTGATTAAATTCAGTCAAAGTTAATAACACATAAATACTTATTTATGCAACTCGTTTTACCGATTTTCTTTTAAGCGTAAAATCAGTTTTCAGACTTGCAGAATTCAGGATGATCATTGGTATTGATTAATAGCAGTTGATACAATATAACCTGTGAATAAGCTCACGCTTATTGGATTTCATGCAAAATGTTGGTTTCAAACTTCTGAAAATATATCACGATCCTTTTTTTCAGAAGCTACACGTGCACTTCCCTTGGTACGTGCTTTGACACTGGTAGTAGTCCATTTATTATTCTCGGGAAATATATGACATCAGTTCATTATTAGATTGTAATGATTTACTGGTAAGCTTAATATACATAAACAGTATCCGATAAACGATCTAGATTTTTGTAATAAATCAGACCAATTATAGATATATGTTAAATATTGTAGGACTAGTGACAAAATATCTAAAAGTCAAACCATTTTGCAGATTAGACACTGTCATATAAATGTCGCTAGTTGAATACGACTGGAATTTTTATTATTGAATGAGTGTAGTTTGAATAAGCAGAGCAACAGATCAATCTCAATATCGGAGAAAAGACATTTAATTGAAACTTTATAGTAAGCAATTGGAAGTGGTAAGCTATCAGGCAATTCAGAACACATGTTTCATTTTGACTGAGTGTTTTGTGATTAAACGTACTCGTGTTTAAGTCTTCGGCACTATTGAGATCAAACAAAGCAGTAAATTATCCTTAGAATGAAATGAGCAAGGAAACTGCTTTTTATAAAACCTAAAAGAACTTGGTTCAATTCCATGCAATATCATGGTTGCTATTGCTATGGAGTCTTGGACGCATGACACATTCACCGCAATCAACAAAAGCACCGGAAATATTTTGACGAGTAATAATAGTTAAATCCAAAACTAGAGCCTATTTTCTGGAAACAGTTCAAAAAAAACTCAATAGTATAGCATAATACTGAGTCTAGATTACCTCAAACTGGGCACAAGAGATGTGCATTTTGCTCACGAACTGGTTGCGTAGGTTATTATACTTTTCAACCGAATATTTGTACTCATCCTGAGCTTTCTTAAGCTTGACCTCCAGTTTTTCTTGATCTCGATTAGAACCAGACTCCAAGCGCATAGCACGCTCATATTCATTATAACGTGAATGATATGCCTCCTTCGCCTTCTGAAGTTGAACGGAAGTTACCTGAGCAGCGAAACAGTAATTGAATGGAAGAACGTAGCTCTATATAAAAGCCGTGCACTATTTATGAAACATAAATGCATTACTTCCATAGCTCCAAAAAACGACCGAAAATTATGAACAGATAGTTTTTCGAGTTTTAGCTCATGAAATAAGTTTTATTAGATTATAAACTAAAATAACTAATAAAATCTATCACCTTAAAGATTACCCTTTCATATATATAAATGGTGCACTAAGGCTTTTCCACCCGAACTTATAGGATACTGACTAATGAGAGCATAGCGATGAATGATGTACTTTAAGAAACTGGAAGTGTTGTTTTTTCCGATGAGCTGTTGAGAATAACATAACCTGAATCAATTTCTCAAAAACTTTTAGACCGTCGAATCACGAGATTTACGAAGTTTTTGGATAACAAGATGACATTCTAAATCCCTTGGATGCTTGGCATACAGACAAATAAAACGAAGAATTTTTCAATAGTGTGGATCCTGATTTCACACCCTACGGAGCGAATAAAGAGAAAAAAACGTAACTAAGGACACTAAAGTAAACCTTACGAGGGAAAGGAAATGTTGATGAACAACAACACCATACTCAGGATGATGTTACTGACTTTCAGCAGTTCAGAGAATTAAAAACTACTCAGTGCCTCAGCAAAATGCAACGATCTAATTACATAACATAATAAACCATGAAGTAATTGATAATAGCAATTATTGAGAACATAATACATGGGAATTAAGCAATTTATATTGTAATGGATAAACGTTACCAACCGGTGATAAGACATAAAAAGATAAGAAAGAACTACCTGAAAAGCATGTACAACTTCCTGCGTTGAAGCTTCTGTATCTTTGATCAGCTTTTGTCTCTTGTGTTGCTCCTCCAGATACTTTTGTACATCTCTTGATAGATTCTGTCGTTCTTGTGCAATAGTTAAGTGGACCTGGGAGATTTGGTCAATAAACTGCTTGAGGAGAGACCAACATGGTTTGAAACTACTAGTGTTGTTGTATGATCCTGCTTGTTTAGATAGTTTAACTAGTGTTTTGTAATAATTGTCTTCTGCTGTATAGCTTTCACGGAGAAATTCGGCAAATTCAGACGAAGTGCGATAACATAATTTGAAATTTTGATACATAGCATCAAACCCTGAATGTTTTTCTCCCCAAAAGTGCTGAGAAAATAAACATGCACTCATCGTGTTAAAGCTATTTCCTTAGAGCAGTTGTAGCTGGAACATCATTTTAAATTCCGTGACAGAGTCTAACATATTCATCGTTAAGACGCATCATATTTATTTGAATTAGATTCAATCACAGTGCAGCAACCATCTACAAGTTATTGGGGAACCTAACTGAAGCTAGGGAACAGCAGACGGATTAGTAGCAACACTTTCAAAACGGCCCTAGAAAACCTCATCCAATATCCAATATTTGCATCATGAGTGTGTATAAGCCAATTGACTTATTTGCATTCGTTTCTTATTGTTTCACTACAGTTTCAAGTATTTAGTTATGTTCAATGTGTGACATTCTAGCCACTCGTTTGCTGTAATTTCAGTAACTGCAGCAATCTTTTGTGAATTTATACATCCTGTAGGTGAATAAGTGAGTTTGTCTCAGGGCAGTAGCGTTTCTGAATGTCAGCAGCTATCGCATTATTAGGCGGGATGTTGGTTGGTTGCAATGGAAGAATAATAAAGTGATAATTTCAGTGCTAATAAATGACTGATTCGAGAATATATAAATAATTTATGTAATTGAAAATGTGTAAGAAGATGGTATTGAAAAAAAATATCAGTAGAACGTAGATGGTAATATTAGAGGTAGGAAGTAGTCACTAATCATGTGGTAGTGATAACCGTGGTAATTATGAGGCATTCGTCAAGCAGCTGGTACAAGACTGAGAAGGCAATTCACGGGTGAGTACGTGTTTGTCAAGTATCCTCCTAAAGCTATGCACTGGGTTGACTACAGTTACTTTGGCCAAGAAAGTATTCCAAATGGGTGCAATTCAAAATGGGGAAAGTGGGAGCGTTGCGTTGACCGGATTCTTCGTGTAGTTTAGCCTGTGTCTAACCTCTGCGTAGTTAGAAGCATGAGATCGCTGTCTGTTATAATCGGGAGTGATATTCCATGGGAAGTATTAACGCCTAGTGATAAATTAAACAGAATGTGCATGACATCTCGACGGGTTAAGTTTTGACCCAAAATCTACTGCTTGGTTTTCTATTGTTATTAATTCTGTAGGGTCACTGAAGTGTCACATCCCTTCCGAAATCGTCCTCAGTCGTTCCACTGAATGTCGAACAGTTCACTTATCCTTGCCAAGATTATTGACAACCAATCAGCATCGTTTAATTGCATGCCATGGACTAGCCCATACTGTGGTGATCGCACGCTGTCCCTTGTGCCAATTCTTGCCAAAATATTTCCATAACAAAATTGTTTGTGTTGTACGGTCATTAAAGCAGTCATAGTACCTGGATATGACAAAGGGGTAATCCACATAGTGGTGTGATTCACTCTGGTGTAACTAAGGCAGGGAACATTCTCGTCCTGGCGAAGTATTTCGTTTGCGATCACATGGAGTGCAGAAGTTTTCGGCTAGTTGTATTTGGTCAAAACTGAGGTGTGGTAATTTCACTATATCCTGCATTATTTCATGTTTTTGGGTTCTTGAAAAAGTAAGTGGTCTGTGTATTTCATTATTCAAGTACTTCATGTCGTTAATATTGAAACAACACCAGCATGATTCTGCCACATCGATTAACTCAGTACTCCGTGGCGTTTCGGTTTGAAGTGCCTGTTGATAAATATTCTAATCTCACCTCCTATTTTGTGTACTCTGTTGCATTGGAAAAAGATCGTGTATTATAAGCACACTTTTCATCAGGGCGATAGCCATATTTCAGTGAAGACTATGATCTTCTGATCTAAATAGATGTATATGTTTCTAACTTTTGCTAGTTTACCCCATATTCCCTGTAAAATGTGATCGATAGACGAACTCACCAATAATAAAGGGAAACGCACACCACCACATTAACTCCCTTTGACCCTGTACTAGTGTATCTCTTTATTAACCAATCACAATTTGATGTTCATTGTAAAACAATATTTGCTTGTTGACTCATTTTTCCCATTCTCTGGCTACTGTTCGGTATGTTATTTGTTTGTTTTTTCCTGTATTAATAGACTGTACAGTTTGCTTGTACACTAACGATGTTAATTTATGTTTTAGAAACAGATAAAGTTTATCTAGCCAAATAGCTTGCTTGTTCTGACTTTGGCCAAACCAAGACTCTGTATTCGACGGTCTAGAGAATAGCTCAGTATTAAACCTGTAGGAAATTGCTCCCTACAAAGTTTCGAACAGTATCTCATCAAAGTTTCGTACATTGGGTACCTTTAGATGTCTATGGAGAGTCATAAAACTGATCATATTCCTGAATTGTCTCCTCATTATTCAGAAACCCATAGTGATGGCCAGCTCAGAGGAAATACCTACCGAATGGATCCCTTGTTAGAGTTAGAATTAGCTAAAGTACGTTTAGCTCAGACAGCAAAAGAAATCAATCTAGAACAGTTACGCCAAAAAGGAAGAAAACATTATAGTCAAGTTATGGCTGACAAGACGATGGCGTATGAGTCTACATCTGTCTCACATGTCGTTGATGTTTCTCCCAGAAAAGACTGGGTAACAATGATGTCTGGAGCTATGAACTATGAACTATTGGAGCTTCATACGGAATTTTGAGGACTGTTTTGACGAGAGCATTGGGTTCCGATCTAGGTTAAACTATTTGATCCAGTACAGTGATGGTGAAGCTAAAAACACTATTGTTCATTGCGCATTGCTCGAGCCAGAAGAAGGAAATCGTAAAGCACTAGAACTTCTCGAGGAAGCATTTGATCAGAAGCATAAAGTAGCCCATGCATTTATTGATAACATGCTGAACATCCCTGCCATTAAAGGGACCAATCCATATAATTTAAGAAGGTTGTCTCGTGAGATGCATATTTGTGAGCTAACATTCACGCAGATGAACTATGAATCTGATCTTAATTCTACAAAGACTATCGAATTCATGTTTTTAAAACTCTCGTTACACCTGCAAAGAGAATGGGTTAACGTTGCATGTAGAATTCTTAAGACAGGTGGAGAACCTTCATTCAATGACCTTTGCGAATTTGTGAAAGAGCAGTCAGACGTTGTTAATACTAGATACGGGTTACTTGTCACCGGCGATCCTTCTAATCGCAACCAAAAGCAATCTGTTACTAATACTAAAGGACATCTTGATTCAGCATATAGAGCGAGAGTGTCATTCGCTAACACGAATGAGTTTGATGTTACACCACCCGTTAGATGAAAGACCCTTGGATTGTCATGTTTATTATGTACGGGAAACCACCCATTAGATCAGTTTGGAGGGTTTAGAGACAAGAGTGTTAATGAAAGGATAGAATTTGTATCAAAGAAGAAATTGTGTAATGTCTGTCTAAAGTCGAACCATACAGCAAGAAACTGTCGAGTGCCGAAATCATGTGCCGTCGAAGGGGGGGGTTGGAAACATCATACGTTGTTACATAAGAAGTGGAAAGAGCAAAGAGATAATAATAATAGTGCACACATTAATACCCAACTATGTACGGAGAAAAGCGTTGAGTGTGTACAGAAGCAAGTAGCATTTGCAATAGTGCCTATATTGATAAAAAATGGAGAAAAGTCAGTACAGACTTGTGCCTTCTTAGATAGTGGGTCGGAAGCTTCACTTATTACAGAAGATCTAGCCAGAAGATTGGGTTTAGAAGGAAAGTCTGAGACCATTTCATTGAAAACACTGGATAACCAGTTCACATTTCAATGTAAAGAGGTTCAAGTGGAAATTTCCCCCTTAGATTCGTCGTCATCAATTAGAATCCCAAATGTATGGACAGTAGAGAGATTACCTGTGTTGCGTAGGACGGTACCAAAGGCATCCCAGTTGGCATCCTGTACTCACTTAAAGGACATAAACTTTCCGAGAGTAGAAGATGAGAACGTCAGCCTGTTGATCGGGTGCAACACACCGAGTGTACACGAGACGAAAGAGATAAGAACTGGAAAGTCGGATGAACCATCCGCTGTGAGGGCTCTGTTAGGTTGGACGCTGTTCGGTTCCTATGGGGAACCCTGTAAAAACAATCGTGTAGACAATCACCTCTAAGCTAAAGAGGAATTAGAGGATAAGTTTGAACAGTTGTACTCAACTGAATTCAAAGATCCGTTTAGTCGTCCGATATCGATGTTTGCAGAAGATCGTGTAGCATTCAGTGTTATATCAGATTCAGTGCAAAGGTTGAACGGGCATTATCAAATACCTTTGACTTGGAGACACAAACACAAGTTACCTAGTAACAGGAAATTAGCAGAACGTAGACTTAGCTGCTTAAAACGCCGACTTATTCGGGATAAGAAATTGTACAAAGACTATGTGGACTCCATGACTCGGTTCATAGAACAAGATTACGCTGAAAAGGTAAACGATAACCACTCTGATGGACGAATTTGGTATCTTCCTCATCACCCAGTCTTTCACCCCAAGAAGCCTAACAAGTTAAGAATAGTGTTCGATTGCGCAGCTCAGTATGCTGGAACGTCTTGAAACAAGAACTTTTATTCTGGGCCTGATTTAGTCAATAACCTAGTAGATGTTTTCACCAGGTTCCGGCAACGACCAGTAGGTCTTACGGCGGACATTGAAGCCATGTTCCATCAAATAATAGTTCCGCCGCATGATCGAGATGTTCTTAGATATTTGTGGTGGCCAGGTGGAGACTTAGAAAAGGAACCCGAGATCTATAGAATGAAAGTTTATCTGTTCGGGGCAACTTCATCGCTATGTTTTCCCTGCAGAAAACGATTTCGGATAATCAAGATAAATTTTCCAAGGCAGTCACGCGAGCAGCTAAAGAGTAATTCTGTGTGGACTATTTATTGATAAGCATGGATACTATAGAATAAAGCAAACTGACATATTCACACTTTAAAAGACTCCTAAGTTTGGGAGGATTTAACTAAATGGAATAGTAATAGCGCTGAAGTGCTGGAGTTCATTCCAAAAGAAGACCGTGTTGAAGGAAACATTATTGTTTGCGAATCCAATGAGACAAGTAAACGAACTCTGGGAATAGAGTGGAACGTCCGAACAGACGAGTTATGTTCCAAAGTTCATGAATTTTACGGAAACCCAACCAGAAGAAATATTTTATCGTACGTAGCATCTATCTTTGATCCAATTGGGTTTGTAGCCCCAATAATATTACCAACTAAAGTGGTCTCGCAAGATACTTGTCGTCAGAAACTAGACTGGGATGCCGAGTTACCTATAGATTGTCAAGCAAAGTGGAATATTTGGTGTAGACATATAAA